AAAATATTAAACGGGGTGCGGCATCCTCCCTCCACCCCAGCCCCGTCCCCGCCGGGGACCCTGATTAGGATCCCCGGTTTGACCCCGTCACCGGTCAAACTGGGGATTCCCCGACCCGATCCGGTCGGATCCCTTGGGGATCGGGTCCCGCGGGTTTTTTTGCCATCCCAATTTGGCATGTCCCAGTTTAAATATCTTATTTAAACGATCCAAAGTCTTTGTTGGTTACCTTTGTTTTTTTGTCAATTGTTTTGGTGACAAGTCATGCTATAGTTAAGGTGAGTTTCGAAGTTCCTCCACAAATTACCACAAATTTACTAGAAATTTTGTCTCCACCACTAGTTATTGACTTAGAAATTTCATATTGATATACTATCTCTTTTAAAGAAAATGTTGAAATTTAGTGTCAAAGTTAGGGCATTCTAGTAAATAACCTTGTACGTAAATATATTTATTATATCTTTTAATTAGATTAGTTACTTCTTTAGCCATTCTTTTGTGTATTTATCAAGGTAAAAAATATTTAGTAGTAAATAATAGGCTAAATTACCAAAAATACCCTCGAACTTTTCCCTTTGATTCAATACCTTATCTCTATCCTTTCAAAAGTTTCAAGACTACCCTTAATCTCATAAACGGTTTAAAAATATCCTTTGAGAAAACATTTGTTAATATTTTGAACGAAAAGTTGACGTGAAAATTAACATGAAAGTTTGTCTAGATTAAAGCCACAAAGAGAGAATGTAGAAGAAGTTATTGTTTTTAGAAAGTGTTCTGTTCCACCGGAGCCCTCATTTTTTTAGGGTTTTGATGTAAATAGTACATGATGGTGTTCGAGTAGAAAATATTGATTCATTTATCAAGGGGGCAAAATTGGGTAGAAAATTGGGAAGTAATCTCTCTTGACAGAAGAAAAATTTTAGGGTAAAATTGAGACTTATATGCCACGTCAACTTTTACGTTAATTGTAACGTCGTTCCAGATTCTCCCACATCAAAATATTAACAGATTTTTGCTCAAAGAATAAGGGTGTTTTTGAAATAAATGGATAAAAAGAAAAAAAAAAGATAGATAAAAGATAACGATAACCGAAAAAATGGAGAACCTTTTCACCAAAAAATTTAGATTAATTTAAGTATTTAATTAATTGGATGCAATCAAATGTTGAAATTTAATTATTTTAGTTTAGCATTTTTAAATTTGTTTTATATCAAGACATAACTACATATACATAGATTTGGATTATAATTCATATAAATATATATTGTTTAGTAAAATAAACTATAAATATTCATAATTATAATTGAAAACAATTTTATATATATATATTAAAAAACAAATCATAATTTAGAAAATTTCAATATTTGTAATTGAGAGTATGGAGGGAGAGGTAAAACATAATGGTTGCCTTGCATTTGTGATGATTTGATTTCGTGTACTTTGGAAAGAGACATATATAGAGATTAATTTGTATAATTATTAAATTTCAAGATAAGAGAAATTGAAAACCTAAAAAATAGAGATTTTGTGTACTTTGGAAAGAGATACATACAGATTAATTTGTGATGATGAGATATATAAAGAAAACAGTCTGAACGAACCCAACCCAAAGGTAAAACATAATGGTCGGCTTGCATTAGGTTTGTCAGTATCTTTTTGCATATGTGGTAAACGTCAATCAGTTTTCTTTTTTTTTTTCCTTTTTATCATAACTTTACTGTGCTTTATATTTTGGATATTCTTCTGTGCCCATGCATCACCTTACCAAACTGATACCTTCGCTTTCCATTTTCTTGCATTTCCCTTCAGGTTCTTTTTCAAATATCATCACTTCATGTAAATTTCTCTCCATCAATATATGGTGTAGCTTTGGAGCTTGCTGCTCATTTGCGTAATCTGACAGCAAACCCTGGCTCCGAACAATCTGAAGATCGTGAACCACTTAACGTGACTTCGATTGAACATGACAATCATCCTTTTGCTTTCTCCTTGGGTGTGATTCTCCAGTCTGTCAGATTTAAAATTGATCTTGAGAACGATGGAAAAGATGCTTCTTCCCTGATGCTTGCCCTAGATGATATGGAGATATGGTATACTTAGTATTTGTCAAAATGTCATCAAATTTGAAGAAAGGCTTTCTATAATATGGATATTTCCTTGCGTTTTGGTTGCCAGAATAGCCTTGTGTTGAGATGGAATTTTTATAACAAAAAACAAATTAATTTATCACTTCTTAAAATGTTTTATTTTTAAAAGTGTATGTAATACATATTTTAATTATTTTAGTCAACTTTTAAAATTTGAATAAGAAAATAAATAAATAAGAGATGAAGGATGTTCCCACCACCACCACAGATTGCTTTTTCCATTTTGCTTTCTTATTTTTTTCACTTTCTAATTTATTTTGTTTAAAATATTATATTTTTCATTTTAATCACATCATTTTTTATTCTTATTTTTTTCACTATCTAGCTGAAAATTTTTTATTTATTTGGACCATCCTTTTCTATTCGAGAAATTTTTTAACGATCGAGCTACAAAATAATACAACTCTATTAATTTTCTCTGAAAGCTGGTTTGGTATAATCTTGGAAAGAGTTTTGCTGAGGTAGATAATCTAGGAAAGAGTTTTGCTGAGGTAGATAATCTAGGAAAGAGTTAGATGAATTGAGAAGCACAGGGTAGGGTGGTCCAAGAAAGTTTTTTCAAGACCATCTCAGATTTTTTTTCATTTGGTCTAGGATGATGAAAAGATGTGTTCTTTTTTTTTTTTATAGTATTTTCTTCATTTTTGAACGATCAAGCAAATTTGAGTTACCTCTTGCATCCTCTAAAATTTTTGTTGGTCTTATGCAATCATTTGAAGTGTCTTCACTTTCTTGATGGCAAAATCTTCCCATCTTGGTTAAGGTATCATTTTGGTGTTTTTTCTCTAGTTGTTGGTAGTTTTGTACAAGAAGAAAAATTTCACAGCTATTGTTTGGAGTTTGGTGGCAAAATACCTCAGTCTTGTATGAAACTAAGTTGTTAAAATTCATACAAACTCCAAGATTGTTGCTTGAACCTTCTGGTTGCTGAAATTTTGTGTGGTGTTGGTTCTTGATTAAAGACCGATCTTCATAATTGATTCCTTCTTTTCTTGAATCGGAATCCAACTAGATTATTTTCTGAAATATGGGTTGATTGGTTTCTTGTTGAATGAATCTTGGTTCTTGCAATCTTCTTGGTTGAACATATTGTTGATTTTGTTGCAAGCTTAAAATTTTAGTTTTTCTATGATCGTGACTAGCATTTTTTGTATCTCACCTACATTCCTATGGATATTGTCTGCTGCTTCTTCAACCGACAGCAAGCGTCGGGTTGTGATTCGTGGTGAGAGGACAGTGATATTCTCTGCCTGTTTTTGGATGAGGGAAGAATCTCTAACATTGGGATTTTTCTTACCCGCCATTTCGAGCCCAAGGATCTTGGTGCTCTGATACCAATTTGATGCAATCTTGCACAAGAGTTTGATAATAATTCAATCTATCTTTCATTAATGAGGATGAAACCTATTTATAGAGGTTTCTCATTTAAAATCTAAAACAGTAACTACTGTTACTGTGCAGTAAAAGCAAAAGCTAACTACATAAATGCTGCAGCTAAGCTAAATACACGGTAAAGGCTATATTAACAGCCAACTACCTACATCACAAATACTCTTCGATTTCATTATCCTTCAACAATCTTCTAGTTTCAAGTTTCCATGAAGCAGTGTGGTCCCAAGAGTCAAACAGTAATTAAAGGTGAGGAAGAGACTCTAACAATGAGGGGAAACCAAACCTTTAAAGGAGAGTCTCCCATCCATGATGATGCCAAAATAGAATTTGTTTACCATTCCCAATTTTGAAAGCATAGTACTTTTGCACCAATTTCCATTGCATATCAATGTTGATCCAAGGGTTGCGAACATAACCGTTCTGTTTATTCCAATTAAAACAATCAGTTCCATAGATGCTAGCCACCACTTTACGCCATAAGGCAGAAGATTACAGAACAAAAACGCCACCCCATTTTGCTAACAGTGTGCTGTTTTTCTTTAAAATATTACCAAATCCTAAACATCTACTTCAATATGCTGTGAAGTGAGATTCTAACAAACCAGATGCTTCAAGGAGCCGTTTGAATTGTCTTCCCAAAAGAAATCTCTCAAACTTTTTCCTATTTTCTTGCCAACCTTTGAGGGCAATCGGAAAAGTGACAGATAATATAAGGGGATGCTATCAAGTATCGATTTGCAAAGAGACAATCTACCACCTCTAAAAAATCGTTTCCATCTATCTAGTTTCTTTGATGCTCAATTGAGCATAGTAACCCTTGCCCTCTTAGTATTAATATGAAATAAAGTGATGCTCAATTGAGCAGAGTAAACTGAAAAACCTTCCTTTCCTGAAACTAAATCAAAATTCACGTCGGGAGAATCATTTCTAGTATCATTATCAATAAGACCAAGAACATTACCAACCAAGGGATCCATCAAAAAATCTGAAGGTACCTCATTTGCAGTTGGACTCAATTTGAACATTGCAATCAAAATCTGAAAAATTGGTCTTCAATCATAGGAACTTCTTGTCTCATGAAGAATGAATCGAACTAGAAGATAACCTAGAATGTTGAATTCCTTTTCCTTAAAGAGATTCCTTTTCCAGATTAATGGCATCAATGGCTAGCCGAACAACCCTAGACTTTTTCCAGCTTTAACAAAGGAAAAGGCCTCCTTAGAATACTTCTTGGACTTGGGGATACTTAAAGACTTTAAATTCCATCCAAAGTAGTTGAAAAAGCATTAATAGGGGTCATGCATGATAAACCATCACCTTGTGGTCCCAAGAATGCTGAATTTATTAGATGAACAATTTATAGGAAGTACCATGCTCAAGTTTTCCTTCTTTTCTTTTAATTTTTTCTTACACTTTGATTATTTGATATATATCAAAATGTTCTGAAGTTGTTAATGCTGTTATACTCCAGGTATGATATTTTTGTAGTAGAGGAGCTATTGATCTGCATGAAGGCATTAAATATAGCAATCCATCCCACGTGCGGTGATGGAGATGGCCATATTTTGTATTCTTGTGGCAATAAATCCCATGCTACATCCTCTCATCTCCATGGCATTGATGGTCGACATAACAACAAGATTGATGGTTTGAATGATATGAATGTTAATGCTGTAAAATGCTGCATCTTACATTTTAACACTGGCGAAAATTCTGCAGCTAAAATTTCCATATATTTAAATGATGCTGAAATCCATTGCTATCCATACATATTTGGATTGCTTGCTGGGTTTTATGAGAGACTATCTGCATGTGCAAATTCAAGTTGTAAAGACGTTATTGGACCTGAGGTGAATGATGCATATGTAAAACCAATGTCTTTGTCACCATGCCAAAGATTTGGTTTCTCAAACTTTGTTGAAGATGAATCTGTTGGACATGACAGCATTCCGTTGGATTGCTTTCCTTTCGTTACTTTACAGAATTTTGGCAATCTTGGTAGTTTTGATAGTTCTCATGTTGACCTATGTTCTGAGTGGAGAAAACGTTATAAACTAAGAGACAAAAAAGTCAGAACTCCAGAGTTTTGTCTGGAAAAAGAACCTACTATATTCCACACCCAACCATCAAAACCTAAATTTGGTATGGATGCATCTGTTACCCCAGGGAGTTCCTGCCATCCTAGTCTCCATGATGTTTATTTGGCTTTAAGTGGAATTAAACTTCATTTCCATGATTCTTCTTGCATTATTGGATCTCTCACGCTTCCAACATGCAAATCTTCTTTATCTATTTCTGAAGACTATTTTGATGTATTATGCTCAGTAGAGGGATTGACTGTCACATCCTCATGGACAAAAAATTTTCTCGAGTTAGTTTGGGGGCCTTCATTACCATATTTGTCTCCTATTTTAAATTTCCGTGTTATAAAAGGAAAAAATCTGTCATCGAGCGCAAAACTTGAAATCAATATTGCCATTCAACATGTTTTTTGTTTCTTACCACCTGAATATTTGGCCATGATAATCGGTTATTTTACATTGCCTGATTGGAGTTTCCAGTCGAATGATCAGTTTTCAACTGGGAGGAATGCGCATGCTGGTTTAGAAGAAGAAACTTCCCTTATTTACAAATTTGAAATTGTGGATTCAGCTTTGATAACGCCTGCTGAAAATTATGAGCTTCAGTTTCTTCAATTTGAAATTAAACAGTTATACTTTACATTGTTCTTTGGAGGGAGTTTAGATGATGCACTGAAAGATATTCCTCCTGAATGTTCTATTCCAGTTCACAAGCTTGCAGAGATGAATCACTGTTTAAATCTTTTTGGACGAGAGTTATCTCTCTCCTTGATGCTTTTTAAGGATAGAAATAGTTCTTCATTTTTATGTCAAGGTACTGAGTGTCAAAATGTTAGTCTAGTTGAATCGCTAAATGCAGATATTTGGGTCAGAATACCTTGTGAAAGTGAGTCTACTAACAAAAGCTCGCAAGCAGTCTGCATGGTGACGAGGATAAGAAATTGCGAAGTAATTTTTGATGGTAAGTATGATATTTTCTAGCTTAACTTTTTGTTATTCTATTTTTGATATTTTTGTAATTCTGTTTATTGTAGTCAATTAAATTTGTTCTGTTGTTTCAATAGACAATCATGCACTTGGTGGCTTTATGGCACTTCTGGAGAACATTAATCAATTTGCCTCCGTTGAAGACCAATCTAGATGTTTCAAGTCTGATGTTCTACAGTTTCTTCAGTTAACGAGGTGTCTGAAGGAGGGCACCGAAGTTTTATTCCCCGTGTCAAACACAACAGTTACTGAGTTGGAATGTTGTGTTGATTCACTTTTCTTAATATTGAAACAGCATAGAAATGAATTATTGGAAATGAATTACAGAGTAGAGTTGCAATTTACATGCTCTGGATCACTGAGAAATGGTGTTGTCAAAGGGATGGATGTTTGTTTCTCTTCAATGGTGTTATATTCAGTGCCCAAAACCATTATTATGGCTAAATCTAGCTTGGAACAATTGTCACCTGTACCTGACACCTCCATTTCAAGGTCAAGTCAAGGTCCAGTTGAACTTTGTGTTCTCCTTCCATCTATTGATATTTGGTTATATTTCTCCGAATGGATGGAGATCGTTGACCTATTGAATTCTTATGTTGGAAATATGACTCAGTTCGTGAGCACAGGTGCAACATTTAAGGATGTTGTCTTGAATAACACTGCATCAGGAGATTCATCGATCACTGTTCTTCCAAATTGTATATATTCTACATCTATGTTGACTGAATCAGTATCAGAGGATACAGAGCAAGATGATCCTGTACTTATTGTTATATTAAAGGACACAGTAATTACGTTTCACTTTCCTGTGTATGTGACAGAAGCATCTAAAGAAGTTCAGATAGCTGAAGTTGACGAGAAGGAATGTCTGAACGTTTCGTCTGATGTTGTGGAAGAAAATTACTGCAGATTCGTAATGGTTTCTTTACACAGTAAAAGAACTGAAGTACTTATTAATAGCAAAAATGCATCATTAAAGTCTGGCATGGAAAAAGTGTGTGGCATGTTATCTAAGTGCGAGGAAAAAGGTGTTCAATCTTGTCCTCTTTTTGAGATATTCGGAGTCAATTTGGAGGTTGACATAAGCAGTAATCAAATGAAGCTTAGTTTAATCCAACTGAAGATTCAGTGTGAATGTTTCAATGTTTGGTTTTCATACCACGTATTCTACTTCTTGAAGCATATTGAATTCAATATCTCTGAGGAAGACTCTTCCCTGTGTATATCTTGTCCTATTGAATTCGAAGTCCAACTAAAGAAAGTTTCATTTCTGCTGAGTGATGGACGGGTATGCTCCTGATTACTTAAAATTATTTCATATTGGTTGATATGGAAATTAGTGCAGCTTTCTTTTTGTCAATTACAATCATTTTTTTTAATCAACATTGATCATCTGATTCTCAACATCCTCTAAATATGTTTGTGTGAGGAATGTTGCTGAATATATGTTGCGTCTCTATTTCCTATCGCTCAAGCAGGGTGTAGTAAACAAAATAAAATAGAATATGTTTTCAAAAAGAAAAAAAGCCAAGATACATCATTGAGTAGGAAAGGTTCAAGTATGTTGATGTGTTGTGCTAACTAGATAGACCATTGGTCACAAGAAATTGAGATAGAAAAAGTATGATTAGCTTTACCCATCAAGTTATTATCCTGACAGAAAAAAGATGTTCCATGTGAGTCCTCAACATTAAATCCTATAAGTTTTTCTTTTATTATTTTCTGCATTCTGGTGCAGACTTGCAGTCCAATTGAAAAGAAAACTCTAGGAATGATTTATTAACCTTCAAAAGAGACTACATGGCTATTTATAAGTTCCTGTGCCCAAAACGTAGCAGTAAACCCAACAGCCTAGTAGTGGGAGGCTAAAAACAAAACACCTCCTTCGGATAGGGCTAACATAACTACTTTTATAATTTAAAGCAGTGTGGATACATCACATTCGGGAAATTTTAATTCACCATATCTATCTAAATTATGTTGGATAGAAACAAAGAGAAATATTGTTAATACAAAAGAAAAGACAAATAAAAGAGGCCAAATTTCTAGGTTCAGGCTCAAAAAACTTAATAATTTAAAGCTTCTTGTTCTCTTCTAGAGAGAGCTTTGGGTGAGAAAACAAAAACAAAACAAAAAAGAAGCCATTCTATTAAAAAAATTAAGAAAAAGAATGTTAAAGTGTGACGAGATATCCAACTTGAAGAATAAAAACTTAAGCTATACTTTGAGATCTTTTTAGAACAAAAAGTGGAAAAATTGAATCATTTGGAAAATGAAAGTTGGAATCCCTTCAGGGGATGATTGTTTTTCCAATTCATCGTTGCTAGCTAAATGATTGTGGTTGAATTTCAGAACTTATTTCTGAATCTGATGAGAATCTCTGGGTGTTCGGTTGTCAAGGTTTGTCTCATCACTAATTCATTTGATACAGGGTTGACCAAGGAGGTTTGTTTTATTTTAGGAACATTGCTGGTTAGTTGGATACAATCCTCATGGTGTATCTGGAAGATTCCTTTGTTTTGTCACCTTTTTGCCCAAACTTTTGTTGGTTTGATTGCATCTTTAGTTTTGCTTTTTCTTCTCATTTTATAGATTGTAATTTTATTGTTATCATGTAGTGGAGTTCTTGCAGACCACTGCTGGAAATTCTTATGAGGAACATCCTCTTGCATGTTAGCATGACCGAGAGCACCACGGAGGACTTCATCACTGGTGAACTGAGCATGAATTACAATAACATTCAAAAGGTATCTTACTGTTTAAGCATGTACATAAAAACCTTTGAACATGATATGAAAACCATTTACATTGTCCTTCAAGAAAACAAATATGCATGGCAACTACTCTCTCAAGCATGCCTCACGCAGGTTGTGATCATTAATGCACTTTTTCGTATTTAAATATATCATAATTTTTAAGATATTGGTATATTATTCGTTGGTTTACTCTCCAGAGTAATTGAATATGACTAATGCTAACGGTTTCAATACTTGCTTGGTTGAAGGTGTTTTGGGAACCTTTTATCGAGCCTTGGAACTTTACAATAAATGTCACCCGGAAACAAGAGAGCAGTTCTCTGTTGAACAGTTCTGTTTTGACTGATGTGCATCTCATGTCTTCCTCACTGCTTAATTTGAACCTCACAGAACCCTTTACTGAGGTAAAGTTTCATATCTATGCGCTATAGTTTTTCTTAAATGGTTTATCTATTTTATCAATTTATGCAAGCTGTCTCAAACCCCGCCAGGAAAAACATAACTCATTGATACCTTGCTTCAGATTTAAAAGAATATTTTAAAACATTTCAATCTTTAAATAAAGTAACTGTAATTTTCTTTTCAGTCACTATCTCAAATAAAAATTAAGTTAGTGAAAACCATAGTATTGCTTTCTTTTTAACTTATATGAAGAATCCTACCTCGAAGAGAAAAGGAAACTAAATCTTAGCTAATTTTAGCTAGCACAATTAATGATTTGAAGGGAGTCTGTATCCTGGAACTTTTTTTTTTCTTTCAATCCATCAATGAAAATTTTGTTTCTTATTGAAATAAAATTAATGATTTTCTGGATAATAAATATGTACAGGCTAGATGTGGAAAATACAAAGTAAACAATCAAAGATATTAATATGCGAGATTTCATGTCCAGTACTCATGGAAATAAATCTGCTTTTTCTCAGACACTTCATAACACTCCCCTCCAAGTAGATTTGTTTATTTTGTGCATCCCTGCCATTGAGATTTGAGTTTTTTCTTGATTTAAAATTAGATTTTGTTTCTCATTTTATTTTGTGCATCCCTACCAATGGAGTAATAAGTGATTTTTAAATTTATTTTGGATTCTGAAGTGTCTTTCTAGGACAATTGACATGATCAAAGATGCTTGGGATCTGAGTGGAAAAGATGACACGTCTCAAAGGCAACTATCGCTCAATTCTTCACAAGTCGAAAATATTATTGCTGGAAAACATGCTCCTTATGTACTACAGAATTTAACTTCCTTGCCTCTTGAATATCATGTTTATGAAGGACCCTTAGATTCTGTTGAGTTTGGCGTCTCAGAGTTCAAAGAAAGAAGATATGTGCAACCAGGTTGTTCCGTTCCAATTTATATTAGTGAATCTGCTGAGAAACAATTTTTTCGTCATAGATCCTTTCATTCATTGGAAAAACTAGATGAGTGGCACACGTATGGCTTTGGACATCATTTTATATCCATCCAACTTGATGGTACATCTGTACCTTCTGTTCCCATTTCCATGGATCTTGTTGGGCAGACATACTTTGAGGTTGACTTTTCCAAGGCATCCAATGAGGAACTGAATATGTCTGCTAACATGTCAAAGGATGTTGATAACAAGTACAAAAAACATATGAGCAGAGGCTTCATAGTTCCTGTTGTTTTTGATGTTTCTGTTCAGCGTTATGGGAAGCTTATTCAACTGTACTCCACGGTATGCACACATTAAACTGCTGTTATCGTTTTCCATGACCCAGAGGACCCAGTCTTTTTTAACATTCCTATATTCAGGTTATACTTTTCAATCAAACATCAATGCCACTGGAGTTTCGCTTTGATATTCCATTTGGTGTTTCTCCGAAGGTATGGACTCATTTAATTTGTTAGAGAACCTAATTACAGTTTCTCTTCATGAAATCTCGAATGATCAATTCCCCTTTCCTTTCGCTCTCTCTCTCTTCTTTCTCTGTTTCTTTTTTCAGATATTGGATCCGTTGAACCCTGGTAAAGCAATGCCACTGCCTCTGCATTTGGCTGAAGCTGGTTGTGTGAGATGGCGTCCTAGTGGAAACTCTTACTTGTGGAGTGAAACTTGTAACCTCTCAAACCTTCTTGCTCAGGAGAGCAAAATAGGATTATTTAGGTCCTTCGTTTCTTATCCATCTCATCCCAGTAGTGATCCATTCCGCTGTTGCATGTCAACGAGAAATATTATACTGCCTTCATATCAGAAGCCCAGGCAGCAATCAGCAGTTGGCTCTGAGCAAAAAATCCATAGTCCAGCTGAATCACAGGAACGGTGTATTCACCACTTGACCCTTAGTACTCCATTGGCAGTGAGGAGTTTTCTTCCCGAGGAAGCTAAACTAATTGTAGATACTGGTGGAATGACGCATTCTGCAATTCTTTCAGAGGTTTGTAAAATATATTTTTTACTGTATCACATCTTTGAAGGTTTAGCTACAACAATGGCTGCATTGTTACTTATGGCAAAGAAAACTTACCCTTTTATTATTTCCAGGTCAAAAATTTATTTCATCATATTGATCCTTCACATGATCTAGAACTTGAAATCCAAATCCATGGATATAGACCTTCATATGTGAAGTTTCCTAGAGCAGAAACATTTTGCTCAATAGCAAAATTCGATGGAATCAAGTTCTCACTTTCTGAGACCATAACTTTGATTCCAGGTATCTTGACCTTTTTTTTTATTTATTGCTTTTCTTTATATAATAGCAAATGTATTTATTACTTCCCTTATCTTCGTATAGGTCCAATACACATAACACTCGATAAATCAGTCGATGCATTTTCTGGTAGCAGAGAACTCAATATTTTTGTTCCTTTCCTACTATATAACTGTACGGGCATTCCTCTCTGGATTTCAGAATTGGCATATGAACAAAAAGGTGCAAACATCTCTGTACCATCATATTATGATATAGTTGAACGTGAACATTCTGCAGGCAAGAGAGATGGTCTTAGCTCAATTATTGGATGCAGTGACTATCATGTAATGGCTCCAGGTTGGCAAAATTCTTTAATGAAGAAATCCGTCTCTTCTCTGGAAAACTCAAATCCACAGTTGGACAGTTTGAATGGGAAAGCTTCCATTTCACCCTATCATCTTCACAAGTCTAATGTTCAGTCAAACAAAAATGACTTTAACTTTGAAAAATCCTTTCAAAATACATCTAAAGTAAGTTCAGGTTCAAGTGATCATATGCGTGTAAGGGAATCTAATTCTTTAGGTTCCAAGCAAGCAAAAGTTAGAGCACATATGTTTTCTCCCTGTAAACCCTCGTCTTCAGATGAAGTAATGGTTAGGGTGAGCAGGTCCCTGCCAGAATGTGAGATAGAAAATATCTCAAGTGTTTCTTGGTCAAGCCCTTTCTATCTTGTTCCCAGAAGTGGGTCAGCTACTGTTCTTATACCACAATCATCATCAAATGCTGCTTCTGTGGTCTCTGTTACATCTAGTGCAATTTCTGGATCTTTTTCTGAGATGACAAGCATAATTATGTTCCAGCCTAGGTAACATTGTTTGCTTCGACCCAACCAATTATACTTTTTCCTTTTGCGTTTCATTTTTTTTTCTTTTTTTTTACTTTATCTTCTACTATTCTTGATCTTGCAGATATGTCATAAGTAATGCATGTTCCAAGGATTTATTCTATAAACAGAAGGGAACTGATTGTATCATTCCGTTGGCAGTTGGAGAACATTTCCATCTTCAGTGGACGGATACAACTAGGTAGACAGACTTATGTGATTGCAGTATATCCATTTTTATGTATAGGAATCAACATTTTCAAGCTCGTGATGAATATACAATGTTAATGATCGAGAGATCTACTTATTTGTTTTAGAATAGCGTTCTTTCGTTGCTAATATTACTAGATAATTATAAGAAAAAGTTAGTCCATATTAAAACTTATTTTGTACATATTAAAATATGTTTTGTAATTCCATAAAAGACCGAACATGCATTGACATCTTGGATCAAATTGGATAATCTTGATCCAGATCTTCATACCTTTTACTTTTTTAGTCATTTCCAAGATGATGATAGTGATTAGTGTTCACCCTCATCCAATAGTTGTGATGCAATTTTGTGTTCTTTATGTTTACGTCTTTTAAGTGCGATGGCTTGCTAATTTTTTTTCCCTATTCATTAACAAAACTCCACTCATTTGCTTGCCTGATTACCAACTTATGATCAGGGAATTACTGGTTTCAGTTCGTTATAACGAACCTGGGTCGCAATGGTCTGGCAGCTTCATACCTGATCAACTTGGTGATACTCAAGTGAAAATGCGAAATTATATCACTGGTTCATCAAACATTCTAAGAATTGAAGTTCAGAATGTTGATGTGCCAATTGACAATAAGATCGTTGGAAATGGCCGTGGAAATTCTGGCACAAATTTGATTCTGCTGTCAGATGATGACACCGGATACATACCTTACAGAATCGATAATTTTTCGAAGGAGGTAAGTATCATTGTTCCTTCTTCAGTTAGAAAGAATTTGATATTGGGTTTTAATTGTTATATTTTCAGTATTTGCAATATTTTTTAAGAAATTTCAGATTTGAACAAGTGTTTCTATTTTATTCACTTGCTTGACTGGTATGTACGGCCCTATATAGTATATTTAAACTGAAGGAGAAAAATAAACAAGGAACAACATTTACAGGGAAGGGGAACAAATGGCAAAATGGAGTTGTCAATGCTATGAATTAAGTTATCTGCGATGATTGATAATATGATTTTAATATTTATTTTCCTTACTTTATTTAACATAATAATAATAATAAAAAAACTGTCTTCATTAATATTAAACTCTATTTGTCTATAAATAATGTATTTTTTTGAGTTCAACAATGTGGGGTGACGATTCGAGATGTAATAATAATACCTTCAGTTGAGTCATGTTCAAGTTTGTTTATAAATAATATATTCATTTTATTTAAATATGGATATGAATATTATTTTATGTATATTTTTTCTCTCTCCCTCTCTCACTCTCACGCATTTTTATTCTTTTTTCTTGTATGGAATCAAATTATGAAATTATTTTAATGTTTTATAAGTTTATTGTTTACATATAGATGTTTAACATACCTTGTACTTACAATGAGTATACAAATATTACCTATGTAGGGATGTAAGTGTTACAATTGATAAATTATAGTATTTAAGCTACAAGCTACGATAAGTTTCCTTGATTTGATAATTTTTTTCCATATTACCATCCACTATTGATAAAATCAAAACTCAACATTTCCATTTCTATTTTGACTCACACTTAGAAGTTAATACAAACAATGAAATAAAAAAAAAAAAAGATGAATGTGGAGTCTTAGCTTTGGAACGTAAAATTTTAAATCTTGAAAGACCTCTAAAAGTAACAAAATTCTAACAATTTTTTATTGGTAACCGTGATCTTTTTTGACACAAATTAATATAAAAGTATACATATAAAGTCATATTTTCTACTAAACAACTAATATTAAACCATTATAATTAAACAAGCTAATGCAGAAACATAATTGTTTATTACAATTTGGTAGTAAATATTACTTGATTTGAAAGTTATATATAAAAAAAAAATGTATATATATGAAATTGTGCCCCTACGATATAAAGTTTAGGGTGCCATTGGATATCAAACGATGTTCTATTTCAAGTTTATCGTAACCATTTGTCCATATGCTATAGCTTCAAGAATCTAATGTTACAGCTTCTTTACTTTTGCTCCCATATTAATTGCTACTTTGACAGAGATTACGGATTTACCAACAAAGATGTGAAAATTTTGAGACTATCGTGTATCCTTATACATCTTACCCTTATTCTTGGGATGAACCTTGCTACCCCCGTCGTCTAACTGTTGAGGTGTGCATTATATTTTTAATCAAACAATTAATCTTTCTTGATTGCTATGTCTGCTAAAAATTTATTTCTGGAAACTTTTAGGTTCCCGGAGAGCGCATATTAGGATCTTATGCTCTTGATGATGTACAGGATTTTGTTCCGGTGTCCTTGCCATTAACCACTGGGGTATGTTCTTTGGTCGTTTGCTGTTTTAGTACCCCAAAACAACAGTTTTTTCATTAAATAGATGTTTTTATGAACCAAGATATTTTCTGTTTTTCTGCAAGAACATTAAATGCTTTGATCATGTAATTGGGCATGGAACGGAAAAAATCTCATATGGTGCCTGGAAGGATGGAGCAAAGCTCAGAATAGAATGCTCACTCCAATTTCTTCCTTGTCTCCTGCTTAATTTTCTAGTTAATTGTATTCTTTAATGTTAAATTGCTTTATATGGTCTGAAGATGAATACTCTTCACACTCTTGTTCTTTAAGACATTTATTATCAAAATAAGATGGCACAGTAGCATCCAAGAAGAAAATGGCATAATAAGGATCATAATTCTCTTTGGGATTGAGAAAGTAAACAATTGGAAATGTAGTACCTGGAAGAGTTCTTTAGTACAATAAGTTTGTATAAAAATATTCAATATTTTCTACAGATGCTATTAAGGATTAATTACTGCTTGAGATTTCTATTTTTACCAATTTTAATTGTTTTGCTTAAACTATAATCCTTTCTTTATTATGATTTTTAATATTTTTCGAGAAAAGGTGGGAGAATCCTGAGCATCAAACAAAAAGTGATTCATTTCCTTTGAAATCATTTCCTTACTCCAGACAGCATCTGATTTATGTTCACAAGTGAGGTTCCACTTCACTTGCTGATCATTGCACAACACCTATTTCTACATATATGTTTTCTTAGGTCTAACATACATTCAAGGAGAACATATAAAAGAGGGGAGGATTAGATATCCTCCCAATAATACAGCATTCCAAGGAAGTTATCGGAAAGACTCCAAATGGCTGAATTTAGAAATTTTGAGAATTAAAGGGTATCTGCAAATATTTTCTGCTGAAGCTGCCCAACGAGAGATATTGACAAATGATACGCTGCAGCAATATGGCCAATCCAAAATTAAAATTTCAGTTAAACTGATAATTTTTATCATTATTTTGAAAGCAGTTATATATGCAACAGAAGTTTGTATATAATCAACAAGGAATGATTTCCCCCTGTTTTCTAATTAAAAAAAGAATAATTATGTCAATGATGAAATTTATCCTTATGATCCATTAACTAAAAATGAGGAAGACAAGTAAAAGAATAATTGATCATGACGTATGATTTTACTATAAGTTTGCACTATTGGAGATTCTTTTTGTATCTCCTTTTATCTTGGTTATTGTACATTTCTAAGCTCAAGTGCCTCTTCAATGGTTATGAAGTATTAATTGCGGTATTGATTGTAGCTAAGCTTCACCTCGGCAGTTGCAATATATCATTTAGCTTTTGACTTGTCACTGGTTTTTGTCTTAGAAAAATGAGAGGACGTTGCATTTATCGGTTCATGCTGAAGGAGCAACAAAGGTACTTTCTTATAACATTCTGTATGTGTGTTCGAGAGTGCAGTTCTACACTTTGAAAAGTACTTTTGAAGTGTTTCTCTGTCAAGCATGAGCTAAATCCCTCTATAAATACTTTCTTACGAAATACTTTAATGTGCTTTTGACCTTTTCCAAAAATATTTTTATGTGACTACGAAGCATTATGATTTAGATGTTTTATGGGAAGTGTTTTTAGCCAGGCAAAAGTCCTTTTGACATGGCCAATATATCTCCCAAATATATTGTAGCCCTCTGCATATTATTCATATTGAGCCATTCTTTAATGGTCTTACTGTGGTTGCAGGTGCTGAGCATTGTTGATTCAACCTATCATATTCCAAATGTCGTTAATTTTGGAGAAAAGAAAAAACATGTTCAGAAGCAGGAAAAGTTCACTGATTACAAGGAGAAATTTTCAGTTTTTATATCTTATATTGGTATATCTTTAATCAATTCCCGCTCTGAGGTTCGTATCCATGTAGTTTGAACTTAGCCTCCAATTTTTTATCTCCTACTTTTAAGTACTCAGAAACCCTTCATATTATTTCTACCTGTAGGAAATGGTATATGCCTGTGCAAAAAACATAACTATCGATCTGCTTCAAAGTTTGGATCAACAAAAGTTATCTGTAAAACTGCTATCTCTACAGATAGATAATCAGTTTCGAAATAGTCCATATCCTGTTATTTTGTCTTTTGATCAAGAATACAGAAGCAACCCAATGGGAAGCATGAACAAGGACATTGGTGCAGTGACAAGAAGTGAACGAGTTCTGCAAGCTGATGGCTCTCTTGAACCTGTATTCTATTTTTATGCATCAAAGTGGCGCAAGATGGATAGTTTACTGGTTTCATTTGAACATATATGCTTAAGGTCTCCATTTTGGCATTTAATGCATCTTTTTAAGTATAAAATGTGCAGCATTGACCTTTTCCTCTTCAATTCTTGCAGAATATCAGATTTTCGACTTGAGATTGAGCAACAAGTGATGTTAAACTTGTTTGAATTTGTCAAAAATGTCTCATCAAATTTAAGGGGGGAAGTATCTCAGTTTTCAGATGCCATATTACATCCTCCTGCAAATGATCCAGCGCATGAGTACTTCAGTGCAAGGACAGAACCTCTTCACTTTTCAAAAGTTCCTTTTCTTGATGGACTTGATAAAGGCAGTAAATTACTACCTTCAGTAGTTCCTATTGGAGCTCCTTGGCAGCAGGTTTATCTCTCAGCAAGACAACAAAAGAAAGTTTATGTTGAATTGTTTGATTTGGCACCTATTAAGTTGACAGTAAGGTACAGACCTGGTCGCAAAGGTTACTTTGTATTTCGTTTTTCTCTGTCATCCATCCTACTCCTAACAAATGTTGTTCTTGTTGGCCTTAGCTTTTCCACCATTCCATGGGTGCTCAAGAACTCTATCCTTACATCTGGTGAATTACTCGTTCATGTAAGTATTTGTGTTCTCTTATCTTTTATCTAAGAAATGTTACAAAACTCTACTATCTTAAATAAGTAATTTCTGGTGTCAAGGAACAATAATGTATGTCACGAGCTAAATGATTACAACAGAACCAAAGCTGCACATTTGCAAGTTCAGTATTTGCATTTGTGAATTTTTGATAGCATGTCAAGTTCTTTAGCTTATTACTTGGTTAGACTTTAAAGGATATAAAACTCATGCAGTAAATATATGTATTGGTTAGACTTGAAGGCTTGTATTTTAATTACAGAGAGGTCTTCTAGCTCTCGGGGACATTGAAGGAGCTCAGATTCATCTTAAACGCTTGAGTATTGCACATCACATGGCTAGTTGGGAATCCATCCAAGAGATTCTGATTAGGCATTACTCAAGGCAACTTTTTCATGAGATTTATAAGGTTAGCTTTTTACTGGTGTAATGGTTATTTTATATCGTGAGAGAGCCTAAGAAAGCTGTTTACACGAAATACTGTGATCAAATTGGTGGTTGCAAATACAGAAACAAAATTTTCAACTAACTAGAAATAGACGAGGGTACTGCATAAAATATTAAGGTTAAATATATGTTTTAGTCCATAACGTTGGAGTGTTTTTTCAATTTAGTCTTTATTGTTTAAAAAGTTTCAATTTAGTCTTAAACATTTTTCAAAAATAATGTTTCTATTGGCAAATGTTAAAATTTATTGATACTGAGCTTACATGCCATGATAATTAATTTGGTTAAAATTTATAGAAGACATTAGGTCATGGAATTGAAGAAAAGTTGAATTTTCTGTCAATTTTTTAGAAATTTGAAAGACGAATTAGAAATTTCTCTTTCGATTGTACTGTGTGCGTAACTTATATCTTTAGCTCTTTCTTCTATGTCCTGTTAACTCCATTTTAGCTCTTATGTCTTTCCTGAAAACCATGAGTTGGCAAGATGTCTCTTTCAATTTGGCATTTTTGTTTGTCTCATGCTGACTTTCTGGGTTTGAAATTGTTCCTATCACAGTTTTTTTCTGATTCTGGTTTTCATGTAATCATAACTTATTCATTTTTTACCATTACTTAGTGTAGAAATATCCACCCTTTTATTACTTCCGCATGAACACTCTCGCTTTCAAGTGGAGAAGTTTTTCTTAACTTCATTGGATAGGGTTTTTTTTTTTCTTTTTTTCCTTTTTTTTTTTGTAAATTTCATATATCTATCAAATTGTTTTCAATCCAATTAAAAAATAGCTTATTCTTTTTTTCTAATATTAAAATAAAACTAAATTGATTAGCTAACATTTTTTTTACCAATACTGGATCTAAAGGTTTTTGGTTCTGCTGGTGTCATTGGTAATCCCATGGGATTTGCTAGGAGAGTGGGAATTGGCATTAGAGATTTTCTGTCGGTGCCTGCCAGGGGCATTTTGCAGGTATTGTTTTTCTATTATTATTATTATTATTTGACTCTCTTGTTGACATCGTTAAATTCACCATTTAACCCAAAAGTTTAAGCTGAAATTTTTATAAGGCTCAATGAGTGGTTATCAATATTAATTGGGGAGGAAATAACATTACAAAAGTTCAAACACAAGACTTATTACTTTGATGCCATATTAAATCCATAGAGGACCCAAAATTTTAAGTTGATGGGTTATAGTAAATTTAATTTTTGATAAATACTTTAACATATGCTGAAAATTTGTTGTTTTATTTGAAGAGTCCAACTGGGCTTATCACAGGCATGGTACAAGGAACTACAAGTCTTTTGAGTAATACTGTATATGCATTCAGTGATGCTACCACTCAGTTCAGTAAAGCTGCAAGGAAGGTATTTCTCTGCACAAGGAATTTCTCTAATCAAATGGCTTAGATATATCAATTTTTTGTTCGATTCTTCTCTCTCTGCAGGGTATTGTTGCATTCACGTTTGATGATCAAGCTTTTTCAAGAGTTGGACAGCAGCAGACTGGTGTTTCTTCACATAGTGGAGGTGTTATTAGTGAAGTTTTAGAGGTACAAAAACTAAACTAAAAAGCTTAAGGTGATGTTCACCGTAAATTTAATCTTTTATTCATACTTCAACATTAATAGCAATCAGCAGACGATTAATCCGTACGGAAACTAAGCATAAAGATTAGACTGGATCCTGTGCTTTTAACTCAAAGTGAGAAATATGTTTTAGATTTGATTTAGTTAAGATTTTATTCCCAGGGTTAACATACAATTGTTGCTTGAAGAATCAAAGATCTTAAAGCATGCATTGTTGTTGCGATTTGTAAATAAGTGGTCTTTTTAATATTCCAAGCTTTGAGTTTTGAAATTTTTAAAGAATTAATTATTGAGGCCCTTCCTACAAAAGGCCTTATGAAGATACTTCAAATCCAAAGTAAAACCAATTAAGATTTTGGAGATTTTTGCTGCTTATGCAGATGAACAAGTTCTTATTCCTGTTCCCATTCTTGCATGTGATATTTTAGTTAATAACTAATATAAATGGAAATTCAAGTTTTTTGTCTCGTAGATGGTTATTACTTCATGTTTTTTGGGTTAGCACAAGGGACAACATTACTGAGATTTTTCTTGAAGTTTGCAGTTTCATCTAATTTTCGTCTGCCAATGAATCGTTATATATTGTTGTGAATCTGTTAGGGTACTAATAGAGAAATATTGATATATAAGGAATGTTATTAGGACATTTGTAGTGGCATAACAGTAATTACTTGATCGTTGTTGGTTATAAATAAAAGTGAGGGAGATAGGAGATGGGAGATGGGAGATGGGCAGAATTTTATAAATGCAAGACTATCGATATTGTAATTTCTCTTTGATATTTTAATAAAAATATAGTTACAGTGTTATTTCTTATAAACAAGATCCAAACCAATCCTTTGCATACTCTGAAACTTGCCAGAAAAGAAGTGAGCTACTAAATTTATAATGTTCATGCCAACTATTTACATTGTTTTCAGGGGCTCACTGGTCTTCTTCAATCACCAATCAGAGGAGCTGAGAGACATGGTCTTCCAGGGGTATTCTCAGGTAATTCACTTTCATATTGCAGTATTCTCTCTGACCATACTGTGATTGCTAAGTATTTTTTTGGCAACAGGCATTGCATTAGGAATCACAGGGCTTGTGGCAAAACCAGCTGCCAGTGTTCTAGAACTTACTGGAAAGACTGCCCAGAGCATACGAAACAGAAGTAGATTACATCAAATGAGACCACAGCACCATAGAGTACGTCTTCCTCGGCCCTTAAGCAGCATTCTTCCACTGAGGCCTTTCTCCTGGGAGGAAGCAATCGGAACATCAATACTTCTGGAGGCTGGAGGAGACGACATGAAGCTCGATGATGAAGTTCTAGTTACCAGCAAAGCACTTAAAATAGCTGGAAAATTTTTTGTCCTCACCCAGAGTTTAATCTTAATTGTTAGCTGTGCAAGTTTGGTGGACTTGGGCAAGGCTGAATTTCGGGGCATCGCTGCTGACTCGAAATGGGTGATCGAATCAGCAATCGGTTTGGACACCATCATCCATGCTGCTACCGATGGAGCTGTAGTTCACATCGTTGGAAGCAATTCCAACTTGTTAACGAGGCAGGATAAATCTCACCCCAAAAGCGTGGTTGGAAGTAGTAGGACAGTGAGATGGAGTGGTCCAGCACCTCTTCCTATCTTTGAGACAAACTTGGAAATGGAAGGCAAGGAAGATGCAGAAAACCTGTTAAAGATCTTGTCATCTACAATCAAATTAGCGAAAGAGCGGGGCTGGCACCGTGGTCATGTTCTCCATCGATATGACATCAAGTAGGCTAATGGCTCCTCTTTCGTTTCGATGACCAGGTTTGGAGGCCAATGAATTAGAGGCCTCTAGGCTTGGTGTGGAGTTTTGCTAGGTTGCAGTTAGAAGCTCTGAATGTACATCATGTATAGGCATTCACTCTCTCTCTCTCTGCTTTGGGGGGAAATTGAAGATAAATTTGCAACCAAACTGTACATTGAATTCATTATATATTTTTTAAATATATTTCTTAAAGAAAAACTATTACTATTTTCGACCCTATTGAATGCACCCTTTTGGTGAGTCTGCTGGGTGTGCTCTGTTTTTGTGAATTTTTTTATAAATCAATTCATGTTTCCCAATTTAAATGGGGTCATAACGATTTCGTTTTTAGTTTTCTATTTTAAAGTTATGCTTTTCTTGTAACTTCCTTTGGTATATTTTTTACCTTTCTTTGGAATACATTTCAATTTTTGGCCACATTTAGAAAACATAAACAAATTATTTTGGAACCTATTTTTTTGGGTTTTTAAAATTTGGCTTAGATTTTGTTAATATTTTTAAAAAATCGATAAAAAGATAAAGGAACGCATTGATGGGAGTGGTGGTTGTAAAATTAATTTGTAAAATTAAAAAAAAAAAAACAAAAATAAGATAGGTTATCAAAATCAGCATAGGTATACCTCTATTTTAACCCAGTTTTTTTATTAAATATTTATATTTTATAGAGTTTTTAAGGCAAATGAATGTCGTTTTTTCCTTCTTTTCTTTTTCAACAAGAGATTGGAGTTTTTTTTTTCTTCCTTTTATAAAACTAATATCTGAATATGGTTAGAATTTCTAACCTTTCAACTACGTAGCCATGCTAATTAATGGGGTATTCTTTTAAAAATAATTAATATTCATGATGTGGTTTGGTTCGGTAAACATGCTTGTCACTCGCCACTTAAATGTTATAACACCTTTTTTTAGGGATGTAGGGATGGAGTTGGAATCTCCAACATGGGAATGAGGTTATTAATATCTTAACTTGTCAAATTACATTCAAGTCGAAAATAAAAAGTGAGTGATACTTGAAAAGATTCAACATGTAGATTTTTATAAGTAATATGTTCACAATTACATATTTATAATAGTAAAAACAACCAAGAGAAGATGTTTCTTATTATATCTACTATCGTTAAAATATATTTGTAATCGCACACTTATACATGAAATATCAATAAGCAACCTAACAAAAAATAGTTAAAAATTATTCTCATTATTGAAGTCTATATATATATAGATAAATATACAAGGTTGATCTAATCTTAGAAAAATAAGGTAAAGGACAAATTAATACATATTATTACAAGAATATAAAATATATTAATATATATATATTCTAACACTCTCCCTCAAGTTGGTGCATATATGTTAATCATGCCCAACTTGTTAGAGAGATAATCTATTCGTGCTTCATTCAATGCTTTAGTGAAGATATCTCCTAACTGTTCTCCAGCCTTCACATGTCCTGTAGCCACCAATCCTTGTTGTATTTTCTCATGTACATAAGGACAATCGACTTCAATGTGTTTGGCTCGTTCATGAAATATTGGATTAGGTGCAATATAGAGAGTTGCTTGATTATCACACTAAAGTTTCATTGGAGTGGTGATGTCAAATCCCAATTCAGTCAGAAGTTTATGTATCCATACTAATTCACACACCGACTATGTCATAGCTCTATATTCTGATTCAGTACTCGAATGTGACACCACATTTTGTTTCTAACTTTTACAAGAAACTAAATGAGGTTGATCTTCTATCTTCCTTGGAACCTGCCCAATCAGCATCTGAAAAACATTCAATATTAATCTTTATATAACAAACCACGTCCAGGAGCACCTTTTAAATAACATAGAATATGTTCCAATGTGGCCCAATAGTCAATCGTATGAGAACTCATAAACTGACTCATAATATTGACTGGATAAGCTATGTCTGGTCTAGTAACTGTAAAGTAATCAAACTTCTTTACTAACCTCCTATACTTCTCAGGATCTTTCAACAACTTCCCTTCCTTTGTAAGTTGTAAATTAGGCATCATTAGTGTACTATGTGGCTTAGCAACTAGCTTTACTATTTCATTTAACAAGTCAAGTACATATTTTCTTTGTGATAGAAGGATCCCCTTCTTGCTCCTTATTACCTCAATTCCTAAAAAGTATTTCAACATTCCAAAATCTTTAGTGTGAAATTGACTGTGAAGAAAAGATTTGAGTGATAGGATGCATGACGTAATATTACCAGTAATCACAATATTATCAACATAAACAACTAGTAAGATAACACCAGACTCAGATCATTTATAAAAAAAAACAGAATGATCCGACTTACTCTTCTCATTCCAAAGTCCTCAATCACCTAACTGAATTTTTTAACCCATGCTTGAGGACTTTGTTTCAACCCATATAAGGATTTACGAATGTGATATATCTCTACATTCTCCCCCTGAGCAACAAAACCTAGTGGTTGCTCCATGTATACTTCTTCTTGAAGATCACCATGGAGGAATGCATTTTTAATATCAAGTTGATGCAAGGACCAATGGTGGATGGATGCCACAGAAATAAATAATCTGACAGAAGCCAATTTAGCAATCGGGAAAAAAGTATCAAAATAATCAATTCCATAAGTCTGCACATAGCCCTTAGCAATAAGACAAGCTTTCAATCGAGCAATTGATCCATCAGGATGAACTTTAATAGCAAACACTCATTTACAACCAATAGGTTTCTTTCCTGCAGGAAGAGACATTAAATCTCAAGTATCATTGTCATCTAAGATAGTCATCTCCTCCAACATGGCAGCCCACCAACCAAGATGAGACAAAGCTTCATGAACAGTTTTAGAGACCGATACAGACTCAAGGAATGCAATAAACGAACAGGTGGGTGAGGACAAATGTTATATGAAACAAAAGAAGAAACAGGATAAGTGCACTTACGTTTACCTTTTCGAAGAGCAATAGGAAGATCATCACTTGTTCCTGGATCTACGGACGAAGAAGCTGCTGGTATAGGGCATGAGACCGAAAGAGGTTGTCGTTGAGAATGAACTTGAGTAATAGGTGGGAGAGAATGATCAGGCACAGAGGGAGATGTATCGCTAGGGAGCACGTTAGTAGAAGTAGAGACAATGAAATAGACAAGAAAGTCATTATCTTCCTATGAATGCTCCCCCTAACTAGTACTCAAGGATGATGAAAAATGAGTATYTTCAAAGAACGTAACGTCAGGAGAGACAAGGCATCTTTATTGAGATTAGGCCAATAACATCAATACCCTTTTTTAACACGAGAATAACCAAGGAAAATGCATTTCAATGACTTAGAGTCCAACTTGGTGAGCTGGGGGCGAACATCACGAACAAAACAAGTGCAACAAAATATTTTAAGTTTAATAGGAAATAAAGGTTGCGTAGGACATAAAGTACGATAAGGTATCACACCCTTGAGAACTGATGAAGGCATGCGATTAATCAAGAAGCAAGCCGTCGAAACAACTTCAGCCCAAAAGTATTTTAGAACATGTATTTGAAACATTAAGGCCCTTGTTGTTTCGAGAAGATGTCTATTTTTCCTTTTTGCAACTTCATTTTGAGACGGAGTATCGACACACGAGGATTGATGAAGAATATCATGTTAAGGATGAATAAACCACCACTCAACCCAAAAGTTTAAGCTGATGGGTAGGGTAAATTTATCATAATAAATGGGGAGGAAACAAACATCAATGCAGAGGTTTCGAACACAGGACCTCTCACTCTGATACCATGTTCACCTAAATAGGAGCCAAGAGCACTAGAAAAATATTCTTTAGCATTATCACTCTGTAGAACTTTAAGAGTGCCACCAAATTGAGTTCGAATTTCAGCATGGAAGTTACGAAAATGAGAAAGTAACTCAAAACGATGTTTCATCAAACATCATAACGGACTAATTCAAAAAGAGCAGTAGCTCGTGTGTGTATTGACTCTAAGATACAAATTGAGACGATGAAACCTAACAAATTGACATGAATCACAGTCTAAAGAATGCAAACTATGAAATCGAGGACGGAGACTTTTTAACACTAAGAGAGATGGATTACCCAAACGACAATGTTCTTCGAAAGGAGTTGGCACTCCAATGCAAATGGTGGTTGTAGGTATTTGTGTATCAAACGTGTAGAGGCCATCGGACTCAATCAAATGTGTAGAGGCCATCAGACTCATGCCTTTTACCAATGGTCTTCTTTGTTGTAAGATCCTGAAATAAGCAATAACTAGGGAAGAATAAGACACAACAATTGAGATCATGAGTAAGTTTACAAACAGAGATCAAATTAAAGGAGAATTGTGGCAAATTTAAAACAGAGGTTAATGAAAGAGTTTTGGAAAGATGAACTATGTCAGAGCCAAGAAGAGGAGAAGTGGTGCCATATGCTATGGTAACATCAAGTAAAGATGTAGATGGTGAAAAAGTAGCAAATAAATTGGGGTTACCTGACATATGATTTGTAGCGCCAGAGTCAATGACCCATTTTGATGCGGAGAAAATAAGACATTTACTGGTGTTACCTGGCTCAACAATGGCAGTAATTGGATTAGAGGACGATACCATCAATGACTTTTGATACTGCTGGAACTTAGCAAACTCTTCCACAGGAATCGAGCATGTAGAGATTAATTTCTTCTCCGCCATAGCAAACAGACGAACTGATTCAAACCAAACGACAAACTAGACCAAACCAACCGAACATAACCAAACAAAGCAGCGTAACCGAACTGGTTGAATCGAACCTGTTGAACCAAGCCAAATGAATCGAACTGGCTAAACCGAGCCAAATGAACCGAACCAGATGACCAAACTAGCTAAACCAGATGAACCAAACTAGACTAGACTTTGAACCGGATGAACCAGGTCGAACTGACCCAAGCAATTGTTTCACCCTAGCACAACACACACAGTGGTTGACAATGACGCCATCCTGTGATGAAGACACCACGGCGAGTAACTGTAGCGACTAGTGGCTGATGGTGAGGTGCGGTAGCTTATGGCAACGTGCGATGGTTGACAACGAAGCGTGGTGAAGAGACTGCAGTAAGAGCAAACGATGAACATTTGCAATACAAACCCAAATCTCGACGCAACAGCGGTAGTCGGTGGCGGCGGGGCGACGATATTGTAGTGAGTGATGATACTAATGAACACAGAAAGTGTTCCAAACTTCAAACTCTAATGCATACAAAACCCTAAGGTTAAAAAAAAATTAGAAAAAGTCTAGAGCTCTGATACCATGTTAAAGATGAATAAACCAACACTCAACCCAAAAGCTTAAGTTGATAGATTTGGTAAATTTATCATAATAAATGGGGAGAAAACAAACAACAATACAGAGGTTCAAACACAAGACCTCCTACTCTGATACCACCTAGAGACTAATGTTTAAGAGAATCATATAAAGATTATTCTCATTAATGAAAGTCTATATATAAAGACAAATATACAAGGTTGACTAATCCTAGAAAATAAGATAAAAGAACAAATTAATACATATTATTACAAGAATATAAAATATTATATCATATAGAACACCCTATTAATATAGTTTAAACATAACATGTTATTGTACTCGAAAAAAAAATCATAAACATATCCAATTCAGTCGTACCACTTAAGGTGTGTTTGGGAGTGATTTTGGCATGACAAAACTTATTTTTACCATTGTCAAAATCACTTCTCTTTCCATTGATAATGTTTGGCAAATTAAAAAATTGATTTTAGAAAAGTTTAAAATCACTCTAAATTGATTTTTTTTAATATACTCTAAATTGATTTTTAATGTATCACTTAGATTGTAATTTTGAAAAATTAATTATACTTAAATATATAATATATATATTTTTAAAAATTACTCATCCTACTATCACTCTCCAACACACGCTTATACTATATAATAATGTACTCTCTCTTAATTCAACTTACATATGCATGTGGTGAGTGGTTTGACCAAATAAGAGTACATGTGGGGCACTATATGCTTGACTGAGATTTTGTTGTTAGCTTTTTTCCTATCAGGACGTGGAAAGGTAAAGTTTTAAATATCAATGTCAAAGAAAATGTCGAAATCTCAATTTCATGGAAATGTCGTCAATATAAATATCGTTATCTATGAATGTTTCTACAAAAATCATAAAACTAAAAAGCATCAAACGAAATATTTAAATTAACAAATAAACCTTTTACAGTCATATAGTTCTTACTATTAACCTATTAATTAGTGTTATTTTATTGATTTTTCACCATATAATAAAAATGTCGATTCATCTCTTATCTCACTATTGAATCTGTAAACGAATGAAAATGTCGAAATGCGTAGTGTTGGAAGAAAGTGGGTGACCTTATTGGTGGGATGAAAATGATGGTAGGGAGGGTTTTAGGGACATGAAAGACGTGGCTTTGTGGGATACCAATGAGTTGGCCAAGTGATAAAATTATGAGAAGTGATAGTGGTATGGCCCTAACGAAGAGAGAGTGAGAGGATAATGGAGACAAGAATTCAAACATATAGTGCTATCCCTTATCTTTCTCAAGTGATTGAGGTGACATGTTGTTGAGCTACACTTTCTACATTCTTATAGCTGAGTCCAGACCCTTCCAATAAGTATACCATATCTACCTACTGCTTCAATCGTGTGATTGTATTTGGTGACGAAAGATAATGGTACTTTCGGTTGGTAATTTAAAAATAAAAATTTGAAAATAAGATATTTAATGAAAAATAGGGTTGTATTCGTTTTCTTTTTTCAAATATGTATTTGGTAGCCAATAATTTAAAAATTGAATCTCCGTTTAAATTTTTTTTCAAGATGTTTAGCAATCAATATATGTGCGGATAATTACCAATTCAATCTAGAATTGTATTAATTAATTTATTACCATATGTGTTATAAATTTGGTAGAATTATTATTTTTCAATATTATATAATTTATAAATGTATTATATTTTACATATTTTAATAAAGAATTTTATCTCTCATAATGCATTTTAAAGTTTAAAATTTAAAAACATTGAAAATATATAAAAATATTGTTTAAAAAAACTACCCAACTAATCACTAAGGATTTAGTCATTAAACTTGAGTTTGTAACAATTTAGTCTCTACTTTCATTCCTAAACTTTAGTATGTAACCATTAGTGCTTGTAGTTTAAAATTTGTAACAATTTAGTCTCTACCATAAATTTTTCTGTTCAATTTTTTATATATGCAGATCGATAAATCAATAAGGGACCATATATGTTTATAAATTACAATGACTAAATTGTTATATTCCAAAAATCTAACACTTAATCTTGATGAGATTTTTCACAATAGGGACTAAAATGCTACAAATTTTAAATTATAAAGACTATATTTTTACCTACTAAAGTTCAGAGGTTAAATTGTTACTAGTTTAAAAATATAGGGACTAAATCGTCAAAGCAAACATAGTTCAGCGCCAATTAGTATATATTTCAAATCAAAAGGTTGTGAGTTCGATTCTCAACCCCACATGTTGTACTAAAAAATATATATATTGCAGTGAAAAGCTAAATCCAATTGTCTTGAATAGCTCTAGAGATATTCAATTGTTTAAAGCAAAATGTTATATATATATATATATATATATAATTTTTTTTTTTGAACAAATGAATGTTAGTTATCATGTGTTTAATGTACACTACATAATCCATAATCCATGACTTTTTATTAGTGTGCTTTATTATTCATAGGATTCAACATTTATCATGCTATAAATTTTTTAACCTGTTAAAAAAATCAACTCATTTTTCTATGGTTGGTCTCGAAATCCACTATGCTGATGTGGTTGTGAAAGCCTGCTGGAGCTTATGTGTACCTTGCAAGACAAAAACTCAACACCGATGTGGTGTTTTTCTTAGTGCACTCTGACTGCCTATGTTAGAACTCAATTCGGATGAGTTGAAAGGAGTGCAAGCAGGATGTTTGCGTACTTTTAGAAGGTTTTAACTCCTTTTAGGAGCATTTCGAAGGACGTGTCGTGGAAGATTTGGATTGTACGGTCGGACAAAGAGTTACGATTGGTGATATGAACGTTTTGGCTGGTGAAATCATACTTTCCCGCTCTGTCACAACGAGACCATACTTCTGCCAAAGGTCAGCCGAGATCCCACCGGTTTGTCTTTGCCCGAGATGGATGGACGAGTAGGGCTACTCGTCTTGGTGCCAGGTAGACTTTCCACCTTAAGTTATCAGGTTGCTACTCGTGCCCACGCTTTTGGTTGCATATCATACAGGATGTTCGTGTTCGGTTTTGGCAAAATATTAAAAGAGCAAATTGTCCCACATCAGAAAGCAACAAGAAAGGGATGTGCTCCAATTGCTATAAAAGGGGTTCATGTCTTTGTGTATTCATCCCAATTGAAACAATCAAAGTCTAGTACACTAGCTAAGTGATATTTGCTTTGCGAGATTTTTTGGGGTCAGGGAGAGAAATTTGTGTGATTATAATAATTTTTTACATGGTAGATATTTCTTTTGGGCCGTAGTTTTTTCTTCGGTTTGGATTTTTCCAAGTAAATTCTTTTGTTTTCTTTATTATTGTGTTTTTTTAATTTCTCATTTATTTTCTATTTATTTCTATCGTATAAATATGGGTCTTTTCCCATCAAGTGGTATCACTATTGGTTGTAGATATTTTTTGAAACGAGGCACGGTTCTGTGAATAGTGTATATTTTTCGTTATTTGAATATTTACTTGAACAAATTTGACATAATGATCAATTTCGGCCTGTGGCAAGTGCAAGTCAGTGCAAGTCAAGGATGTGCTGATACAATTTGAGTTACACAAGGTGTTGAAGGGGAGATCGAGTGATGATGCTTCTGAAAAGCTTAGAGATCATGGTGGCTTAGTGGAGTTTAGCGATGGTTCCCACAAAATTTCTAAGAAGTCCAGTATGAATTATGAAGATTGGGAAGACATGGATTTGAGAGTTGAAAACACGATAAGAACATGTTTGACTAAGAATATCCTTGCAAACGTTCATGAAATTTCGACAGCCAAAGAATTTCGGGAGAAGCTCGAAGCATTATATCAGGCAAAAGACATCTCAAATCGGTTGTACCTGAAAGAGCAGTTTCACCTACGAAATGGAGAAAGGCACAAGAATCTCATATTACCTAAGTGGTATCAATAGCATCATTTTTTAGCTGCAATCGATTGAAGTGAAGATAGATGACGAAGATAAGGCTCTTAGACTCATCTCGTCACTTCCACCTTTTTATGAATACATATAGTTGATCTTAATATATGAGAAGGATACTTTGAATTTTGTTGAGGTTACTAGTAAACTTTTCTCAGAAGAAAGAAGGTTGAATAGCGAAGTATGTACTTCATAGGAAGACTCACACTAGTAGCTGGCAATTGGAAGAAGCAGAAAGGTTACGTGCAAAAGAAAAGTTACTGGGGATGCAGATAGTCTGGGTACATGAAGAAGAATTGTCCTAACAGAGAAGAATTGTCCTAACAGAGTCAGTTTGTCAAAGAACTCTAGGTTTTATGCTAACAATATTTCTCTCATTAAGGGAGATGATGATCTCTTCCTCTGAAGAGAGATAGAATACATCCTCATGGTATGCCCGCTTTACCATGATAGAGGATGTGATTTTAGCAGTTCCATAGGTTTACGCACGGATATCGACTTGGCAATTACGCAAGATGTGTGGTAGAAGTTATGTTGATGGCTGAACAACTCCTAGGTGAGTCAAGTAGGTAAAAGTTGCACCATAAATTTGAGCAAAACTTATCTTTCCAAGTGGTCTACTTTTATGGTGAAGTAAATTATAGTTCTCTCATCATCATGTTGTGGTGGAAATTGTCTCACATCAATAAGGTACGATGTACTCTAGGTGCTTAAAAAAGACTCGTACCTTTTGAGTTTTTTCTAGGTAAATTGAAACATTTTAAGTCTCTTAATACTTGATCTAGTTAGTTGAGTGATATTATTTTTGTAGAATTGCGAGGGGGAATATTGGTGGGGAGTAGTTTCAAATGCTTTTTTTTCTTCTTCCTCCTCCTTTTGGCACTAGCTAAGAGGAACATAACCCGAGAAAACTTCTGGAATGGATGTGAAAAGAAAGATCAAAATGCTGTTATAAATAAGAACGTAACGTAATTGGACTTCAAAGAAAGTCAAAGAAAAAGTAACAGTAAGCCATGGAAGTCAAAAGTCAATCACCAACAAGCTTTTGCTTCACACCAATGCCTCCTCAAAAAGAGGGATCGTCTCTCTCTCCTTCTTCTTCTTCCGAATTTCGCTGATTCTGCTCGCGGGTCACTAGATTTTGCCATTTTCTATTCTGGGTTTCCTTTTTTGTGTGTTGTTTTCACTTTTCTCACCGGATCCAGATGGAGCCGCCGCCCCTTGTCGACCTAGGCGACGGCGACGGCGACAGTGGCGGTGGCGCCGCTTCATCTCCCTCCAACAATTCTTATAACCAAGACCTTAATCACCTCAACCATGGGTTTAATTACTTGAATCTCGACGACACTTCCCGTGGTTACTCCCCGAAATTCTTTGACTCCAGTTCATCTTCGTCCGATAATGAAAATGATGGTGTCTCCTCAAATTCTGTCGAGTCCACTACCAAACGACTTGACTATATGCTGCAATTTCTGGACAGCAAGCTTTCATCCCCATCTGTTTCGTTTAGTAATCACGACGGTGATGCTGACAGTTTGAATTATGATACGGGTCGTTCTTCTCTTCCTGAATTCGTTGGCCGGGGTGGAGGAACTGGGATTTTTCGACTTCCAGTCCGAGCTGCTGTTCACCCTCATCGGCCGCCTAGCCTTGAAGTGAGGCCGCATCCTCTGAGAGAGACGCAGATCGGGTGCTTTTTGAGGACTGTTGCTAGCAGCGAGTCCCAGTTGTGGGCTGGTAGCGAATACGGTGTCCGATTCTGGAACTTCAAGGATTTGTATGCAGCAGCTGAAGGCACGGGTGTGCGGAGCGGTGATGAAGAAACGGCGCCATTTCGTGAGTCAATTTGGATATCCCCTACTCTTTGTTTGGTTGCTGATGAGGGCAATCGGTTAGTTTGGAGCGGCCACAAGGATGGTCGCATTAGATGCTGGAGGATGGACCCGGAGCTGGATATCCAGAGTTTGAACTCAAATGATGATCATTTTGTGGAAGCGCTGTCTTGGCAGGCTCATCGTGGCCCTGTCTTTTCGCTTGTAATGACATCTTATGGTATATATGGTCTCGTGTGATTGGCAAAGGAAGGTGGGTTTTGCTTCTTTCTCGTTGACTGTTTTGGTTTCTCTTTCTTTCTTCTAGGGGATCTTTGGTCGGGTTCGGAAGGAGGGGCTCTGAAGGTGTGGCCATGGGAAGCTGTTGAGAAGGCTCTCTCCATGACAGCGGGAGAAAGTCACATGGCTACTTTGATGGTGGAAAGATCTTATATTGACCTTAGGACTCAAGTCAGTGTAGGCTTCAGTAACACATTTACTTGGGATATTAAGTACTTGTTGTCTGACGACTCTACTGCCAGAGTCTGGAGTGCCAGTGACCTCTCTTTTGCACTCTGGTATGTTAGTGCATATAGGATTGTTACATCAGATTACTTGTACTCTGTTCTTAGTTGCATTTTGCACTTATTGAATTTCTTTAGCTGATGAATCTACTAATTAGAATGAGTATTGTTAGGAACTTATAATCTCAATTCCTTTGGTTATACGCAAAAACTGGTTCACATACTGACATACATATGGTGCATCCTTCTTTGTGTTACATATGCTCGGAGCACATCATACTAGTGTTAGTCCTGCATGTTTATGGGTTATTATCTCCTACAATACCCAGTATTATTTGTGTGGAATAGTTGAAAATTTCTTCCGAGTAGCTAAGGAGATGCTTCCTAGTGTCATTGTATTTTAATATGTGGGTCTTAGTTATATATTGTTTCCACTTTTCAAGGGATGCTCGTACAAGGGAACTATTGAAAGTGTTCAATACTGATGGTCTAATGGAGAACCGAATTGATATGATATCTGTCCAAGATTTTGCATCGGAATCTGTTTCTTTTTCGAAGAAAGAGAAGGCACAAAGTTCCTTTGGTTTCTTTCAGCGGTCACGTAATGTTATAATGGGGGCGGCTGATGCTGTTCGTCGAGTTGCTGTGAAGGGGGCCTTTGGAGATGATAATCGGAGAACTGAAGCATTAGTGATTACAGTAGATGGTATGATCTGGATTGGATGTACAAGTGGGTTACTTGTGCAGTGGGATAAGAACGGCAATCGGTTTCAAGATTTCCATCATCATTCTCATGCTGTCCAATGTTTTTGTACTTTTGGATCACGCATATGGGTGGGTTATGCTAGTGGTACTGTTCAGGTATTGGACCTCAAAGGTAAACTTCTTGGAGGATGGGTGGCTCATAGCTGTCCTGTGATCGATATGTGTATTGGATCTGGTTACGTGTTTACCCTGGCAAATCATGGTGGTATCCGTGGATGGAATATTACTTCTCCAGGACCTCTTGACAACATAGTATGCTCAGAGTTGGCTGCAAAGGAATTCTTGTATACAAGAACGGAAAATTTAAAAATATTCTGTGGTACATGGAATGTTGGACAGGAAAAAGCATCTCATGACTCTCTCATCTCCTGGCTGGGTTCTGTTGTCTCAGATGTTGGCATTGTTGTTGTTGGGTTGCAGGAAGTTGAAATGGGAGCTGGTTTCCTAGCAATGTCAGCAGCTAAAGAGACTGTGAGTTCCTTCATTATGAAACGTATAAATTTTTCTTCTCATTGTATCTCTACTTTGCATCAATGGATGAATCTCAAGGAAGTTATCTGCATGTTTTATTATAATATTATGAGAAAACATGCTTTCATGGAGAAAATGAAAAAAAAAATAAAGGAATAATAAAAAGAAAAAAAAGATAGAGAAAAAAATGAAAAGCCCAAAACAGCAGGAACCAGAAACAACTGCCTAACTACAAAACACTACCAAAAAAGACTCCAATTAACAAGAATGGAAGACAAAGGGAAAACATTAAAATCTAGTTAGAGAAATCCAGAGGGAGGTATTGGCTTCTTGGTGGTGTCACAGGAATAGAAAATTTTCTTGCTTTCGATTTTTTGGCGTGATTGGAGAGCTATTCTCTTTTAGTTTTGTTGGAAGGGGCCTTCTCATCCCCTGTCCTTAGGCTGTTTTTTTTTTTTGCTTGCCCTTTTAATGAAGTGTTTCTTATATATTAAAAAAAAAAAAAACAACCTAGCGACAACCCAAACATTCTCCAAAGTGCTCCCTCCACCTCTAAAAACTCGAGAGGCAAATGTTCCATAAGTCTATAAAAAGAAGCAGTTTGGAACATTAGTAGGAAAATATTAGGGATATTAGGAGGGCATATTTGTCATTAGTTGGGAGTTGGTTAATTATGGATTGTTATGAGTAGTTATGTGTGTTCTTATGTTTCCTTTGGGTAGTTACGTGTTGGGTAATTATATTTTTCTATATATAGTTTGTCCTTAGGCAGAAATAAGGTTATCATTTGTGTGAAGTTAGGAAATGGTATCAGACCTCGGCTAGGTCATAATCTTCTCTTATATGCAATAGAACGACAATGATCCATCTTAATCTCTATTAAATTGATATGAGAGCAGTTTGTCTTGCAAATGGATTTGGAATATAGGATATTCTGTTGGAAATGTATGAGATGTTGAAAAAAGTGAGGAAAGACGTGGCATCACTAAATATGAAGCCATTTGAGGAATTGAGTAGAGATTCAGTGATTGAAGAATAGCAGCATGGGCAACAACAGTTTGGAGTAAAGGAAAATCAAGCCAGCAAGTTGAGTAGATGCGTCATGCTCGAGATGAAAGGGAATCGATCGTACACAAGTCCAAAGAAGATGGAGAAACTTGTGAGGGGTGGAATTAGGACAAAAAGAGACTGAAAATAATATTTCCTTTTTGTAACCTAGATCTATCATCAGCAGCTGCATTCTCCCTTGAGAATTTCTTTCTTTTCTTCTTGCTTGTCGATGTAGAATCATGTATCATTCAATAATTGCACGTGGAATTTTATTGAACATATTTTTTGTGGTTTGAAAGAGCTGATTCAAGAGATCAAGATGGTATGGCCAAAAATAAATATATTAACCAATGTTATTCATGCATTTTCTCGTGATCGATTTTTAAATCAATCCATTTTGTTTGAAAATTCTGGTTATGAGCTTGGTCCTAAGGGGAAGGCAAAAGCTTAAACCCGAGTTTTGGAAGTGCTTCCTGTGCGTATAATAAAATATTAGAAATATGGTGGAAAGGTTTGTCCCGATTTGTCTTTGATTTGAAAATTTGAAGATCTCATTACTCTTTCAATTTGGTTAAAAAAATTGGCATGCCATTTAGCTGCATTTCTTTTCTCCTTAGACTTATTTTGTGTTTCCTTCTAATTGTAGGTGGGGCTCGAGGGGAGTTCGCTTGGCCAATGGTGGTTGGATATGATAGGGAAAACGTTGGGTGAAGGATCAACTTTTCAACGTGTTGGTTCTAGGCAGTTGGCAGGCTTGCTCATAGCAACATGGTTTGTAATCGATTGACCCCAAACTTATTTAATCACGTCTGTCTGTTTTCTTTTCTAATAGGTGCTATTTCTTATACTTAGGAAAATAATTTTTTTTGATCTCGTTGGAGTTTAAGATTTTAAATTATGTTCATTGAGATGATGTGGTCATGACATGCTCTTACTCCTTTTTGCTTTGCGAGTGAATGGCCTTTCAGATACTTATGACTTGCCCTTCGAGGCAATCTTCCTTAGCATTTTGAGATTCTGCCATCTTTTTAAAAGGAAAACAAAACTTTAAATTGATATTGAAGAGCTTCCATATGAACAAATAGAGAAAATGAAAACTCCCAATAGAAGCATGGAGCTTTCTCTTACAGTAACGACAGATGACAAATACGAAGATAAATTACCAAATGGTAACAAAAAAGCCCTCCAACTTGAGTTGAATGCATTATGAGAATACATAGAAAAAGAGCTTGATAAATAATTCAGGGAAAGGGAGAATTCTTCGAAATATCCCTTTTTGCACACCAATCTAACGATTTGATTCTTTGGTTTGAAACCAAATAAGAGAGCTTAAAACTGCATCAACTCACAGGTACCTAGCTTCATTTTTTCAGTCTCACACCACTTGGTAGTTGGAGATTATTTTCCGTTGATCTCCCATCAAACACCCAAGAAATATTGAAGACATTTAAAAGGCTTGCTACTGTAGCAACATTGAAAGAACAAATGAGATTGGTCATCTCCTGCCCAAAAACTCAGAATGCAAATTGTAGGAAACAAAGCCACCGAAGTTACTTTTTTGCACTCAATCCATCATATTTGAAATTTTAAACTTTCTTCCGAGTCAGAGCTATTTTCTTTTTTAAAATTTATACGATATTGGCTCAAGAGAGATAAACCTGTAACATAGAATAGAAAAAAGATTTTCGAAGGGGTGTTCTATAACAGGAAGCCTTTTTCTTATATCTCTTCCCGATGGTGCATAATACGAATTCAATTGTTCAGGGTTAGAAGTAACATTAGAGCTCATGTGGGGGATGTTGAGGCTGCAGCAGTTCCTTGTGGCTTTGGACGTGCAATTGGTAATAAGGTATAGCTTGTTTATTTGTTCTAATAAAACTACTGTTTCCAGCCTTGCTTTTGGCCACATTTTGTACATTGTATTTCCAGAAATGGTCATTGACCGACAAAAACATTTTGAGAAGTTGGTACGTGGGAAGTTTGTAAAATTCTCTTTCGTTTTTTTTTTCACCAAAGAATATACCGATATTAGTCTAGTCTAGGTACATAGATTACCGAACAATAAATTTATAATGAGCTAACAGAGGGAACTTGATATCCGACAGTAGCATCAATATTTGTTTCCTTAAATAAGTAGAAATAAAATGTGGACTAACAAGCTGCTGACTGAGCAATGGGAAATACTGATTTAAGGATAGCATGCATTGGTGAAAATGTTGATATGTTGATATCATTTATTCGTAATTTTGTGATTGATTAATTTTTTTCCTTTTTCTTTTTCTTTTTTTTTTCTGCAAGGGCATTACTATATCATATCCCTCTTTTTTTTTGCATTTTCTCATTATTTTTTTATTCTCCCTTTAACCTTGTCAGTCATGGGAATATCCAATGAACCCCCTTGTAATTTGCTTCTAAATATTCCAAGAAAGAAATGAAGTTATATTAACACTTACACTGTTTATAAATTGAGATGATATTTCTTTTAGCAAAACAAAAGAGGATATATTTTCTGCAATTATGTCACAGATTTAGCTCAATATCTCCGACAGGACTACATAGATTCTTGTGTGGATTTATGTTACAGCATGTATGGGTTATTCATAGAGATTTTGAATTATATATAGAAATTTCCTTCTTTTTACCATATGTTTTTTGGTCTATACTATCTCATAATTGTAAATCTTTGACATGATTAAAGGTTGTCTGACCAGGGGGCAGTTGGTTTAAGGATTAGAGTGTTCGATCGGGTGTTATGCTTTGTTAACTGTCATTTTGCTGCACATTTAGAAGCAGTCAACCGTCGAAATGCGGATTTTGATCATGTATACCGAACTATGTCTTTTCAGCGGTCATCCAATCCTTTTGGTTCTTCAGCCGGTACAGTTTAGTGGCTCTTCTTTTTTTTTTGCACTTGCCTTTTCTTGACGCATTTGTCTTAGGTTGTTTATAGATCTGGCTTTGCCATTGCTCCTTTCTTGTGCAGCTTGTGCTTCATCCACTGCTCAGACAGTTCGAAGTTCAAATGTATGTGTAAATTTGATTGTTCCATGGTCCATTCTGTCTTTTGAATTACTTCCGACTGGTTTTTTTTTTTTTAACAAGAAATGAACTTTTCATTGATAAATGTCAAGAAACATAAAATGTTCAAAGATACAAACTCCAAAGGGGTGAGAAAGATATAAAAGGGTAAATACAAGTTACATAGAACCGAATCAAGATAACTAGAAATTACAAAGGAGAGCTAAAAGCATCCCAATTAGAATAAAATATAAATCAATGAATTACTTCCCACTGTTATTCTAATCTTTCTAAGTAACGCGAAATTTCTTGTTCCTTATTTTATTTCGGGTGCGAATGATAAAATTGTGTCTTTCACAGGCTTTTGTGGGGTCCTCTGTAGAAGTGGCACCTGAATTGTCCGAGGCGGATCTGATCATTTTTCTTGGTGACTTTAATTACCGGCTCAATGGTGTATCATATGATGAAGCTAGGGATTTTATTTCTCAAAGATGCTTTGATTGGCTCAAAGAAAGAGATCAACTGCGAACAGAGATGGAATCTGGAAATGTCTTCCAAGGAATGCGTGAAGCAGTTATTACATTTCCTCCCACGTATAAATTTGAGAGGCAACAACCAGGATTAGCAGGTAGCTTTTCAATGTTGTTTAGTGGTGTCTAGTCTTATTGGTGCAAGCTGCTTGAGTATTAACTGCTGCTACTTTGGGTAAAAATATATGCCATTTGCAATCCCTTCCTTTTTATGTCCTTGTTTTTGGTCCTTTGAAGTAGTATACCATCTTGAAACTTTCTTAACAATTAATAGAAAATGAGAAGGCAAACATGATCATAGAAGGTTTTCTGCTTCTGTCTTACAATACAGGTTATTTGAGTTTTTCTGATGGTTCTGATATCAAATTTATTTATCCTTTTAATAGGGTATGATTCCGGGGAAAAGAAGCGTGTTCCTGCCTGGTGTGACAGGATACTATATCGTGATAGTCGGTCATCTTTGGCATCTGGATGCTGCCTAGATTGTCCTGTAGTCACTTCAATATCACAGTATGTTGTCCCATTTTAACTATCTTTCTATATATAGAAGTTACCCCACCCCCAATGGAAATCAATACCATGTTGATATTTCTTGGTAGGGATTGGTGGTCCCCCCTCTTTTCTTTTATTTTTTATTTTTTTCTTTTCCCTTTTTTCCCTTTATTTTTCAAAGGACTTATTTAGAGATTATTCAGATTCCCTATTCCACTTGTGAAAATTAGACAAGTTGGTTTTCAAGGAAAAAAAAATTTAGACAAGTTGATACGAGATTTTATCTCGAAAGGTCCCAACACTAATAGAGAGTAAGAAATAGGAGGTGTTGGAGAGAATCAGGTGTTTGGATAGATTGGATGACGAAGGATTTCTTAGTGATGGGTTGAGAAAGGAGATTGTTAGATTAAAAGGGACTTCGAGAGGGATTAATTAGGAGCGAGGACATGTGAGAATGTTGTGATAGGCTAATCAAGATTAGAATCTTCTTTCTAGAAGAAGTATGCTCTATGGAGGTGCAAGAAATGGTGTGGCTTAATTTCAAAGCTGGAAGATATTGCTTTTAATCAAATTGACGATCAGTTGAGTTAAGATTATCATTCAGACAATAAAGCTGCAATAAGTATTGATTTTCGAAGATTAAACATTTGGAGGTAAACTGTCATTACATCAAAGCAAATATAGAGAGAATTGTCTCTTTAATCTGCAATTCAAGTGTGCACCAAATTGTTGATATACTTTTAAAGCTCTTCCTAGAACTAGAATTGAGCTTTACGATCTCGAATTCATATTGGGCCTTGACATTTAACAACTCAGTTGATGGCAGTATGAACATGTGCTCTTCTACTCGACCTTATTTGTCTGCAAGATTGTCTGGGGATAATTATCTCCTTGCCTTTTCCATGTCTCTTCCTTTTTTTAACCATCATGAGTGACTCATTAATCCAAGGGGGTCTGGATTTAGAGAGAATAGGTTCAAACCCCAGGATGCCAACCTACGTAGGAATTAATTTCCTATGTGTTTCCTTGCAAGCAAATGTAGTAGGGTCCCGTGAGATTAGTCGAGATGCACGTAAGCTGGCATGGACACTCACGGATATTAAAAAAAAAAGTGTGTTTATTTCCTTATTCTTTATCAGGTATTCTGTAAATAATATTTCTCTAGGTTGTACATTTTATGAACTTGCAGAAAATGAGGAAGATTTAGTGTATTTCTTACCAGGCTCTACTCCTATCATGCTCCTTTAATTTGAACACTATAAATAATGTATTTTTCTTTACGAATTTGGTTTAGGGGAGTATGAAGATTTGGATGTGGAATTTTATTTGAGCCCGTTCGGGTTACTGATAACACTAATGTCAAATTTCATAGTGTTTCTTTTCTGTTTTGAGAATTGATATTCCTTCCTGTACAGGTATGAGGCTTGTATGGATGTGGTAGATAGTGATCATAAGCCTGTTCGTTGCATATTTGATGTCAATATTGCTCGAGTTGATGAGTCTATAAGAAGGCAGGAGCTTGGAGAAATTCTTGGTTCAAACGGGAAAATTAAACATATGCTTGAAGTGTTATGCAAGATTCCTGAAGTTATTGTCAGTACGAATAACATAATTCTTCATAATCAGGATATATCTCTTCTGCGTATTACAAATAAATGTGAGAAAAACGATGCTATTTTTAAAATAGTTTGTGAAGGTCAGTCTACAATTAGGGAGAATGGGAAAGCATCCGGTCGGTATAATCTAAGAGGTCCTTTTGGCTTTCCACGATGGCTTGAGGTAACTTTATTTACATCATTCATCTACTTTTAATTAGATCTGTCTGAGTTTGCATTTTCTGAGCTGAACATGGTTATTATTTATTAGTTACATTACACATTTAGTCTCTAAATTTTCAAGTTGTGTCTAATAGAAAATTAAACTTTAAAGAGGGTCTAATAAGTTACTGAACTTTAAAAAGTGACTAATAGTTTCCTAAAATTTCAATTTTGCTTCTAATTGGCTCCTAAAACCTATTCACCATGGACCTATTAAAATTTTGTGTTTAATGTATCTTTGAATTTAAAACAATGTTTTATAGGTCAATGACTTATGATACAAAATTGAAACTTTAAGGATTTATTACACTTTTAAAAGTTTAGGGACCTATTAGACTTAGACATGACCCCGAAAGTCTAGGGACTAAACTTGTAGTTGGAACTTATTTATTAGACATGGTGTTGACAGTTCATAACAAAACCTGGGTTATTTTTTGCTTATTGTATCAGGTATCTCCTGCAACTGGGATTATCAAACCTAATCAAATTGTTGAGGTCTCGGTTCGTCTAGAGGAATTCCACATGTCAGAAGGATTCATTGATGGTCACCCACAAAATTCATGGTGCGAAGTCACTAGAGATAAAGAGGTTGTGTTGCTTGTTAAGGTGTATGGAACATTTTCAAGTAAGTCAAAGAATCACCGTATTCGTGTGCGCCATTGTGTTTCACCAAAGACCGAAGGCGTAGACACCAAAACAAACGACTCTACCCAAATCCAAGGAAGCGTTCTTCATCGATCCAATATTCAGCGTCTCAGCATGTCCAGCGATGTGGTTGACCATCTCCGAAATATGCATACCCCTTAATTGCAGCCAAGATTTAACATGGCAATGCTCATGTCCAGAATTGTTTGGAAAATCATGCTCTTGGTCTTTCAACAGATTTCAATTCCACCAGCATCTTGACGTGTATATACCCGAGGAGGTGTCTCTTACCTTTTTGTATCCACACTCTTTACTACTTTGATTTGTATCAATAGTGTCCATTCAATACCTGTGTCCATTTTTTTGAAGTTTCAACATAATGTCAAGACAGGTCCATCTCCAGGTGGTTTGGTCTGCTTATGGGGACGATTCACAAATCTGTAGATGAAAATTGTATACAGAAACAGTGCAGAGTAGGTGAGGCAGTTTCATTTGTTCCTTTGAGTGTTATATCCCAATTATAGTGAAACAATTATGTTTGTGGACTTGGTTTTGATGCTGCTAAGTTTAGGTTCCTTGAACAAACATTTTTTAGTGAACTAAAAATAGGCGTCTGTAGCTTCATAGTTCTGGATTTGTAAGATGAATCTATCCATATTTTTTATACGATAGTTTCTGAATGCTTTGCCCTATGTATTTTCTAGAGTGTCATTTCCTTTTTTTTCCCTAATGAGTTCAACAATTGTTGGTTGGCAGATTGAACTTTGGGATGCCATAAGGTGCCTTTAGCCATTTGAGCTATGCTCGGATTGGCGTTTCTAGTTACTTTATTTCTGTCTTTGAAATCTAGATATTACCTCTTATGAGTTCCTTGCCATATGAAAATATTCTCTCCTCTCGTTTCTGTCCCCTTTCCTTTTCTTGTTACTGTCCCCTTTCCTTTTCTCGTTACAAGGATGCTTGGGTCTAGAATTATTAAAGTAGAGTCTATTTTAGTCATGGTACTTTAAAAAGTTTTAGTTACGTCCTCGAAATTTTAATTTGTCATAAGTTCCCTATTAGAATGCTTACTTGAAATGTGACTTTATTAATTAGAGATTATTCAATATGATATTGCAACTAGAGGTTGTGAGTTCGGTCTCTCACCCCCACATGTACTTTAAATGAGCAAGTTAATATAACAGTAAATGGGTAAGTTAATATAACAGGTTTAGGTGTTGGAGAATTGTGTTTTTCATGCATATTACCCATTGTTTGACCTAAGCCCTAGAATTTCCCCATTTCATATATTTTGCCCACTTGTCCGCCTGGCCTAAAATTAGTTCATGTAGGACATTTCAAACATCACATCTCTGGCACATAAGCATAAATACTACATAGACTTAATAGCCAACTTTCTCAATAGAAAACCATGAAAACGTACGAAATCAAATTTGCATTTAATCTTTTTAATTTATTTTGTTCACCTGATGTAGTACACAAAATTAAAGGTGAAAGTTTTAATTTGTCTCCACATTTTAGAGAGTTTCTATTCAAATCCATCTCCACCGTTGCAGTGCCCTTCCTCCCAAAGCATCTTGGCATCCGTTATTTTGGGTATTACCCTATGAAGCAAAGTCGATGTATGCTTAGGTTTGTGCAGTAATTATGTAAAATCATACATATGTTGGATAGATACTGATACAAAATTATAAATTGAACTTGCTCTTTTCGATTATTTAAATTGTCTGAAGTTTTCAACACGGCTAGATTATTTTGCTCCTTGAGAAGTTAAGAGGCTTGATAGGACAGCATGTCTCTCTACCCCCAAAGTTTAGAGTGGGATGATATTTTAGTAAGCCTTACTTAAAACTTCAGAAATAAATTATTTTATTTGTGACGAACGAGTAGTTATTTAGTTTATAGGAATCAAAGTCAAAAATTCGAAGAATGGATTTTTCTTTGGTAACATAAGATTAAATTGTAGAAAGAATCATGCGGAGAAATTTTTTTTAATGATATTCCTTATTAGTAATTAGGAAACCCCTATCAAACAAAATAAAAGCACGAATTATTTCTTCCGAAAAATTTGGAAAGGGGTAACTATTGTTAGCATCTAATTCATTATTTCACACTCAAAAGAAACAAAATTGCTTAAAAGAATGTACATTCGTAAGAAAATTTTACAACCACCAAAATAGTTATTTTAAAGTTCACAATCTAAATTCGATAGTTTTTTTTAGTACAATAAGTGAGAGTGGAAGGATTTAAACTCATAACCCTAGAGTCAGAGATAGGTGTCAATTACTACTGAGCTAAACTCATGTTGGTACCTAAAATCAATATTTTGAAAGTTTAGAAAATTAAAATGGTATAAAACCCAAAAATAAGAAAGAATCTGCTTTATTGGAGAGGTATCATCTTGCATGGATATTATATCTTTAAACTTAAAATTAAGGTGTAAATTGTAGAATCTATTCTCATTTAAGGCCATAAACAATTCAGAGGGAATATTAATGAAAAAGTAATATAATTCTCTTTTAAAGCTGTTTATCAAGTTAAGAATGATGACATCAAAATGTAGAAGTTCAAAATTGGGAATCATTCCGAAATAAAAATAATAGGGAAATATATTTTTGGTTCTTGAGTTTGAGTATGAGTTTCTATTTAGTCCTTAAATTTTAAAACTTGACAGTTTGGTCTCAACCTTTAGAAAATAATTCTAAATGGTCCTTGAGTAAAATTGACCGTAAAGGTGACATGACATTGCTAAGTTGGCAATTTTTAAATGATGTGTTAATATATATTAATTTTAAGTTACATAACTTTAAAATAATATATATTGACACATCATTTAAAAATTGACAATTTAACAATGCCATGTCACTTTTCCATTAGTCAACTAAGAGTCAACTTTACTCGAATACTAGAACTATTTCTTAAAGGTTGAGACCAAATTGTCAGTTTTTGAAATTTAGGGTCCAGATAGAAACATATCCTTAAATTTAAGGATCAAAAGTATATTTTATCCAAAATAATAATAAATAATAAATAAAAATGAAAAATTCTCGTTCAATAAAAAGCCTTCATAAAACTTCTCTTTTATTATGTCTATCTAATATTTGATTATTATCGTTTGTTGATATTTTTAAAAAGAAATTCTTTAGATAAAATCCATCATTGTTGAACAAATTAGTAGTAGAACGAACAAAAATTTACTGCAAGTAATTATTCTTCTAAATTTTAAAAAAAATTACTGGCGTATTTTTAGTTAATGCATGTTTTATGTTATGATGATTATAATATTACATTCTTATTTGTAATGTAGGTAAACAACGTGATTCAACTCAAAAATTTTAGACAATATTTTGTCAATAATATCGAAAGAATATCATTTTTATCTTCATTTATTTTCATTTCAATTTTTATCATTCTCATTTCTTTACAAGTAAACCCAGACTGAAACGAAAGAAATTTCAAAAAAAAAAAAAAAAAAATTGAATCAAATGCATCATGGAAATGGACTGTTATTATGACAATATAAGACAGGCCAATTATGATGGATAATTATGCAGTTTTCCCAAACATTTTCTCATAAATCCAGACAAAAACTAATTAAATGGTTTTTTTTAATATATAAAGGTAAGGATTTTAAATCGGAGACAAGTACCATAAAAAAATTAAGCAACGTTCAAAAAAAAAACAATGGATTGGGTTCAAAAATTTTTTTGGATTGGCTTATTGTAGAATAAAAAATTTTGATTCGGTTCATAGGTTGAGAAACTTTGGAACCGACCTATATATATTTTTTAATTGACCTAGGTTTCCATTGTTCTGACAACGCCTCCCTCCATAGCCATTGTTTGTTTTCATGGAAGTAGATGCAACGAAGCAGTTTGTTTATAAATATTTAAGAAAATTCCTACTCTATCAACTCGGTCCCGAAAATATATGGGTTGGTTGTGCACTCATTCGAGTCTCTCAAATAGCAAAAGTTTCGAATTGGCAAAAAAAATCCCTCTAATCCAACCAACCCAACCCGTAACCATCCTATTGCAAAGATTCTCACCTGGCCTCATGTCCACCACCAATATTCTCCCCCATGACAACCACAGCCTCCTATTCTTGACCTTAAACCTCCCTTTGTTATAATGTATATAAAGAGAATCATTCTCCTCTCTCCAACCCATGCATGTGTCTCTCTCACAAGTTGTATTACTATTCACATCTCATCCGAAACCCAAATCTCTCTCTTTTGGAATAAAAGGGTTTTGTGCAAATAGTGAAAAAATGAAGGTTAAGAACAGGCAGACCTGGGTCGAAGCAGCACCATCCCCCTTGATCGCCCATCAAAAGCCTTCCATTTCTCCAAAGTTAGAGACCATTGCAGAGGAACGTCTGGACAACTCTCAAATTCTGTCTAAGATCACTTTTCTTCTTCCTGTTCTACTTTCTTTCCTCGTTTACTTTTCCCTGTATAAGCTAAGCAATTGTAATTTGTAGCATTCAATAATAACTGTTAAATTAGGAATTTGCAACATCACCTCTTTCTCCCTTTCTCCCCCAATGGGGAGTCTCATAATATCCGTTGGATGCACATGTCCCTAATAACCACTAAATATAGATTCGAAATACTTTTAATGATTTCTCTCTCATAAATTGAGAGATGTAAAACTGGCCTCCAATAATTCTCCCCATCAACAGCATTCTTAAACACAAAATGGAATGTGATGGACTCTATTTGGTTTAATAAGAAAAAACTCATTTACCAACCACTCATTGCAAATCTGGAATACATTCTTCTTCTAATCATCAAAATTTGGACTTCTAAAATGCACACTTCTGATCTTCTCTCATTGCATGGGGAGAGAGGAGAAGGGGAGTGGACATTGGATGAAGAGGTGAGGGAGAGCTAAGAGATGGTGTGATGAATGAATAATAGTAAACCACAATTCAAGTATTCCCTATAAAATTGTTGGGTGAGGTGAAGAAAGAAAAGGCTATGGACATCATCATGTTTTTTTTTTCTCTTCATTGGATTATCACTATGAGGAGTTTTTTGTTTCACACTTAAAAGGCAGCTTCCTCCATTCACTGAACCCTTCCTCCACAAAAACCGCCCACATTGTTTCTTTCTTCTGCGCTCCAAATGCATCAGTTACTAAAATTTCTTATTCAAAATACAGCAATTTCAGAGGATTATGGTACAGAATCATCCAAGATTATGTATATATAAGAGTAATATAGTTACACAAATTACACAAATGGAATCAAATTTCCTGCCTTATACAGAAGTGATTCTCCTCCAAGGTGAAAAGAATTACCTTTTTTTCCTATTCCTCAAGTCATGAAGGCAGTCATGAACTGAGAGAAGAGCGAGAGAGTAGTTTCGGATGCGGCATCTTTCAACTCCCTAATTTGAACGCATCAACAAAGAGGCCTAAGCACACGCCAGCTTTCCAGTAGTTGATCATCACAATAAAAGATTTCAACCTCCTGGTTAATAAAGGTGGAGGCTTCCTGTACATGAGCACACCAATCCCTTCAATGGCAGCAACCACTACACCAGCAACCAAAACATCCCAGTCACCCGTCTGCCCAAGAATTGTAGCAAGTGCATTTGCTGTGTAGAAACCCAAAAGAAGCAAAAATATCTTCATAGGGAAGTTCTTTCGTGCTGAGTTTAGCTTTTCCAGCAACTGTCGGGCGGCTGAGCTAACTAGCCTGCCTAATCGAGTACGACCGAGATTCGATTCATCGCCATCAGGGTTGTCTTCCCCACCATTTCTAGGTAACCCACTTGTATCTAATGCAAAGGCTAGCTTCCGCTTCCGGAGATGTCTACTCGTCTGGAAACTGTAAAAGTAACATCAGAAATGAAATGTTCATAACAGCATTAATGTGGATGTGGAATGTAGATAGAGAAAAACTGTTGTGCTCAACATGAATTTAAGCACTCATTTGGTTGCCCAAGGAAATATATGCTTTAGTTTTCCGAATGTTCCATAGCAAGCGCTTCCAGCTTCAGATCAGGATTTTATGGTTTAACACTTGTACAGCTTTTTCGTGGATAATTTGGCTTGAAAGAAATAGGAGAATGTTCAAAGACGAGGAGAAATCTCTTGATCATCTGTGGGATGATAAGGGTTCTTTTTGTCTCTTTGGATTCTCAAGTCAGAAATAATTTTGTAATTATTCTGTTTATATGATTTTAACTGGATGGAGATCCCTCTGGTAACTTTCTCCTTTTGAAACGGCTACTATTTTTATAGTCAAAAAAGGAAATAAATAAATAAAAGTAAAAAATAGGAACACATCAAATCTACCTTCTTCGAGGAAAGGGTGCAGACTTCAAGCAACGGGTTGAATTTTGTGCATTAAAGACAGCCGCGTAGCCCCAGTAATAAACTAAGCAAGATATATTGGTAAGACATGATCCTCTGGAGCTATAACTCTCTATTTTCAATAATCTGGACTGCAGAATCATGGCTCCCATATGGCAGGTGGTCATCTGGATACTGATATTGCCATTTACTACACAATCTTCCAATCAAAAGAGACTGCTTCAATACTGCAAATTAAAGGCAAGATCGAAACTATTCAGTATACACATTCAGCCACAAATCTGAAATTCAATTTTTACAATTTATCTCAATGAGTGGGATTATCAATATTTGAAAACCACGTTGCACACAGATAGAAAAACTCAAGTAACCAAAATGTAGGAGAAATATCAAACAATTGCGGTCTAGTTGGTCAATCAAGCAAGTAATTTGGCAGTAAATAGAACATGCCTTTGCAAAAGTCAGGCAAGACATAAATGACAAGAAAAAATCAAATGAAGTTTCAAGACCAAAAAAATTACCCACAAAAAATCTACAAGAAGCACTGAAAGCCATCAGGCATCATTTGGCACCTATAAATCAGCATCAAGCCACAGAAAGGGTAACTATTCCACAGCATTTGATTGCCATGGATTCAGAATGCAATCTAGGCCACACTGTAATGTGGGATTCACAGTACCTGGCTCCACCCGCACAAAATTCTATAAGGGGAAGAATGGTAATTACTGTAAGAATAAATACCTCTTCTATATGTTTTGATCATCATATCCCTTTTACTGTCGGTCGATCTGAACCTAGCTTAATTGGTGGGCATATATCCCCGACCAAAACATTGTCAGTTCGAATCCCCACCATTACATGTTGTACTAAACATATATCCATTTTAATGTCCTTATAATCCATTGAATGGAAAATCGAGCTAGCTTTCCTTACTAGAACCATATAGAAATACAAAACTGATCTAACAGAGATAGGGGCTAAGGCCAAACTAGCAATGTAGGAAAACCCAAAATAGAAATCTAAAACTAATTTGATCTAATAGAGATAGGATCAAAGGCCAAATCAGAAATGTAGGAAAACCCAAAATAAGTTTCCATTAAGCAAAAATCTTAAATAATTAATATGCTAATATGCCTAAATAGTAACTAATTGATTACAAACTGATCTTCTCTGCATTATCTACAGACATAAGATACGTCTTCTTAAAAACAGAAATGAAGGAGGAGAAAATAAGATTATCTAATGGTAAACCAAAGACTTCTAGATTTTCTTACAGAATGCGACATTGGCGCACATGAAAAAGAGCTTGAAATGAGGGGACAGCTTTCTTGTCGTAATAACTTATTTTTAAATGAAACAGAATTTTTCATCATGAGTATCAACAGCTAACAAAGGAACGGAAAACTACCAAGAAAAACAAATACAAGACTTTGAACCTAAGAAGCAGATGCGACAGGACACAGATACGCCATTCAATTACAAGACACATTATCCATTCAACAAAAGTTACAAAACAAATTTTCCAATACGAAGAAAGTTGAAGATGTCATTATAATAATTTAGATGAATGGTAATGTTAGGAAGTCAGAAAATCTGATGCTAATTTAGTGGAACATACTTCAAGTTCTAATTTAGTTTCATCGGCGGAAAAGGTGATAGACGGCGAAGATGAACAGTGTCCTGGCCGCAAGGCGTCAACGGCAAAACTGGCGGCGGTGGCGGCCGGAGGTGGTGGTGGCGGTGGCGAACGCAATCGGCGAAGGAAGCAGCGTGGGCCTCTTTCTTTTTCGTGGGTAGAGGGCAGAACGCAGAAGTCGTGCGTGGGTTCTTTTTCAGTGATTTAGGGCTTCTTTCCGGGAAATCGATAAATTTGAACTAAAAATGGTTGCTCAAATAATCAAATTACTGCATTTTGGGCTAAATTACGTTTATTTTATGTTTTTTAGTTTGGAAATAAGAATTTATTTGGCACTATGTTTCTGACAGTTTGGTTTTGAATTTTGAAAAATAGTCCTAAAAGTTCTCGGGTGAAACTTTCGTTCTTTACACCAATTAGGAGTGAGTAAGTATGGTCGAAAAATCGAGTCAATTGATCGAAATCGATTAAACCAACGTCGGTTAGTCTGTTTTCATTTCAGAACCGACTGGTCGGTCGGTCGGAAGCTACAGATTCCCAATAACCGACTAACCGAATGTTATAAGTGTAGGATAATTTTTTTTAATTTTTTAATACTTCTCATTTTTAAATATTATATTATATAATTTTAGGAACCCTTGGGCCTACCCCTCCCTCTGCTTCTTCTTTGCGCCGCCAGTCCACCCCCTTCATCTGCTTCATCATTGC